AAGCGTTAACAGAAGTCTGCGCTCAAGTGCCACTAAACACTCAAGGAAATTAATTAAGATTGTTGTAATTACCAGAAGTTGTTTCGACTACTTGTACTTAAAGGGTTATTAGGCAGAGAGGTCGACACGCGGTGAGGAGGGTAGCGCAGTGTGTGTGTGTGTAGAGGAGGACGAGGTGTGTGTACAGGAGGACAAGGTGTGTGTACAGGTGTATGTGTGTGTGTAGAGGGTGGACGAGGTACAGGAGGACAAGGTGTGTGTACAGGTGTATGTGTGTGTGTAGAGGTGGACGGGGTGTGTGTACAGGAGACAAGGTGTGTGTACAGGTGTATGTGTGTGTGTAGAGGATGGACGGGGTGTGTGTACAGGAAACAAGGTGTGTACAGGTGTATGTGTGTGTGTAGAGGATGGACGGGGTGTGTGTACAGGAAGACAAGGTGTGTGTACAGGTGTATGTGTGTGTGTAGAGGATGGACGGGGTGTGTACAGGAGGACAAGGTATGTGTACAGGTGTGTATGTGTGTGTGTAGAGGAGACGAGGTGTGTGTACAGGAGGACAAGGTGTGTACAGGTGTATGTGTGTGTGTAGAGGTGGACGGGGTGTGTGTACAGGAGGACAAGGTATGTGTACAGGTGTATGTGTGTGTGTAGAGGGTGGACGAGGTGTGTGTACAGGAGACAAGGTGTGTACAGGTGTATGTGTGTGTAGAGGGTGGACGGGGTGTGTGTACAGGAGGACAAGGTGTGTGTACAGGTGTATGTGTGTGTGTAGAGGGTGGACAGGGGTGTGTGTACAGGTGTGTGTGTGTGTGAGGTGGACGAGGTGTGTGTACAGGAGGACAAGGTATGTGTACAGGTGTATGTGTGTGTGTAGAGGTGGACGGGGTGTGTGTACAGGAGGACAAGGTATGTGTGTACAGGTGTATGTGTGTGTGTGTAGAGGGTGGACGGGGTGTGTGTACAGGAGGACAAGGTGTGTACAGGTGTGTGTGTGTGTAGAGGGTGGACAGGGTGTGTGTACAGGAGGACAAGGTATGTGTACAGGTGTATGTGTGTGTGTAGAGAGGAGGACGAGGTGTGTGTACAGGAGGACAAGGTATGTGTACAGGTGTATGTGTGTGTGTGTAGGGTGGACGGGGTGTACAGGAGGACAAGGTATGTGTACAGGTGTGTGTGTGTGTGTAGAGGATGGACGGGGTGTGTGTACAGGAGGACAAGGTGTGTGTACAGGTGTATGTGTGTGTGTGTAGAGGGTGGACAGGGGTGTGTACAGGAGGACAAGGTATGTGTACAGGTGTATGTGTGTGTGTAGAGGGTGGACAGGGGTGTGTACAGGTGTGTGTGTGAGGGTGGACAGGGTGTGTGTACAGGAGGACAAGGTATGTACAGGTGTATGTGTGTGTGTAGAGGGTGGACAGGGGTGTGTACAGGTGTGTGTGTGTGTAGAGGGTGGACAGGGTGTGTGTAGGAGGACCAAGGTATGTGTACAGGTGTATGTGTGTGTAGAGGATGGACGGGGTGTGTGCGGGAGGACAAGGTGTGTGTACAGGTGTATGTGTGTGTGTAGAGGGTGGACAGGGTGTGTGTACAGGAGGACAAGGTATGTGTACAGGTGTATGTGTGTGTGTAGGGTGGACGGGGTGTGTGTACAGGAGGACAAGGTATGTGTACAGGTGTATGTGTGTGTAGAGGGTGGACGGGGTGTGTGTACAGGAGGACAAGGTATGTGTACAGGTGTATGTGTGTGTGTAGAGGGTGGACGGGGTGTGTGTACAGGAGGACAAGGTGTGTGCAGGTGTATGTGTGTGTGTGTAGAGGGTGGACGGGGTGTGTGTACAGGAGGACAAGGTATGTGTACAGGTGTGTGTGTGTAGGGTGGACGGGTGTGTGTACAGGAGGACAAGGTGTGTGTACAGGTGTATGTGTGTGTGTGGTGGACAGGGGTGTGTACAGGAGGACAAGGTATGTGTACAGGTGTATGTGTGTGTAGAGGGTGGACGGGGTGTGTACAGGAGGCAAGGTGTGTGTACAGGTGTATGTGTGTGTAGAGGGTGGACGGGGTGTACAGGAGGACAAGGTATGTGTACAGGTGTGTGTGTGTGTGTAGAGGGTGGACGGGGTGTGTGTGTACAGGAGGACAAGGTATGTGCAGTGTATGTGTGTGTGTGTAGAGGGTGGACAGGGTGTGTGTACAGGAGGACGAGGTGTGTGTACAGGTGTATGTGTGTGTGTGTAGAGGTGGAGGGTGTGTGTACAGGAGGACAAGGTATGTACAGGTGTATGTGTGTGTAGAGGGTGGACAGGGTGTGTACAGGAGGACAGGTATGTACAGGTGTATGTGTGTGTGTAGAGGATGGACGGGGTGTGTGTACAGGAGGACAAGGTGTGTACAGGTGTATGTGTGTGTGAGAGGGTGGACAGGTGTGTACAGGAGGACAAGGTATGTGTACAGGGTGTGTGTGTAGAGGGTGGACGGGGTGTGTGTACAGGAGGACAGGGTGTGTGTACAGGGTGTGTGTGTGTGTGTAGAGGGTGGACAGGGGTGTGTACAGGAGGACAAGGTATGTACAGGTTATGTGTGTGTAGAGGGTGGACGGGGTGTGTGTACAGGAGGACAAGGTATGTGTACAGGTGTGTGTGTACAGGTGTGTGTGTGTGTGTAGAGAGTGGACGAGGTGTGTGTAAGGAGGACAAGTGTGGTGTGTGTGTAGAGGGTGGACAGGTGTGTGTACAGGAGGACAAGGTGTACAGGTGTATGTGTGTGTGTGTAGAGGGTGGACGGGGTGTGTGTACAGGAGGACAAGGTATGTGTACAGGTGTGTGTGTACAGGTGTGTGTGTGTGTGTGTGTAGAGGGTGGACGAGGTGTGTGTACAGGAGGACAAGTGTGGTGTGTGTAGAGGATGGACGGGGTGTGTGTACAGGAGGACAAGGTGTGTGTGTACAGGTGTATGTGTGTGTGTGTAGAGGGGTGGACGGGTGTGTGTACAGGAGGACAAGGTATGTGTACAGGTGTGTGTGTGTGTGTAGGATGGACGGGGTGTGTGTACAGGAGGACAAGGTGTGTGTACAGGTGTATGTGTGTGTGTACAGGAGGACAAGGTGTGTGTACAGGTGTGTGTGTGTGTGTTTGATGCTCCTCTCTGGACAGTACCTAGACATCGACTACACTGTTATGTTTTTAATTTGAACAAGATACACCTTAGCACTACGAGTTGTGTTCTCTTGTCAAACGTAATTTAATCGAACCAATGAATCACTTAACGTTATAACCTTACCTTAGGGGGAGGGGGCGAGGCTGCGGCTGCCACCAGATGAATAATGTTGCTCCGGCGTAGAAAGATCCACAGAATTATGTAAATCATTTAGTTTGATCATATCTTCACTATACAGGTTACGGTGCACTTTAAACTAGTCATTAATAATTATCTTGTATTATCCATTGACGATTAAATAAAAAAATCTGTGACTATTCATCCAGATTTCAGGGGAATGAAGAGTTATGACAGATTTGATGTTATAGAGGAAACCTCCACTGAAGTGTATTAAAACAGGGTGAGTCTAATTACCATTGTGTTTTTTTTTTAAGTGAGTATAGTCAGTGCCGGCCTATGATCGCTATTCTCATTATCACAATTACCAACCTAATTCTCAGCCACACAGTTCTTCTTCTTCACTTAAGACACAATTTAATCTTCTAACACGTACCGAAAACTCACAGCTGATCGTGTCATTCTTTCACCACCACACTATCACCGTTTACAGTCTATTTTCACCGGTTTATTCACCAGAAGCTCTATTGACACTTGTTGTTTTCAATGTTTACTTTAGATTCACAGAAAAACGAAGCACTATCAGAGAAGGTAAGTGATCCCATCGGTGTGTGAGTCGATCTCCTGGAAGCTACTGACAAATTGACAATAACACCATTACCAGTGTTGCCAAATGTGGTTGGTGAAAATCAGCTAGATTGACCTGTAGAATCCGCTAGAAATTCCTGTACCTGTACGAAGTTCGAACGTGTAATGGACATGGGCAGCAGAGGGACGGGGTTGGGTTGCTCATTACTCTGTTTACTTTATTTATTTGTTTTTCTAATTCCAGGGGGAGGACAGAATAGGTTTTAATTACTAATGCATACGAAATCCGCTAGAACTTCCGCCAAATCCAGTGAAAATGCACCAGAAAATCCGCTATCCGTAAAAGGTCTAGCCATCCGAGTTTTGAAAGGATAAACCGCTAGATTTAGCTGATTTTCCGCAAAGTTGGCAACACTAAACACTACGTCACCACCACCATGACTCTCAACCAAGGCTGGAAAGTGTTGATGTTATAATGTAATACTACGCTTTAACACGTAAGATCTTTAACTGCAATATTCTAGATTAATAAATAAATATTCATGAAAATTTAAATTCAAAAAGAGTTAAAATAAGTGTTGAATATACTAACATAGAGACAGGAATGTAAATATACAGCAATTCAAAGCGCATTCGTGTTAAGTAGGAACACGGCCAAGTTTACTGTCTGGTTCAGCCCAAGACATTTACTGAACTTACACCTTTGTATAGTCTATAATGTGATTGTATTCTACTCAATGATGATGATTCCTGCATTATGTTTACTCGTCATTCGTTTCATGGGAAAAAAATAATTAAATTTCAGTAAAAGTAGAGAATTCCCTAACACGAAAATGAGTCACTAATTTAGGTGCATATTTAGCAGTATCTAACATGTTCCCAGAGTCATTAAACTCATCTCTACTTAATAAAGTCTCTTAAATTAAGGATATAGTTTCGAAAGACAGATTCATTAATTACATAACAGGTGTTTATTTTTGTGAAGTGGATGGGACAAAATAAATCACTCCATTTTTCTAAACTAAATTGTAATTCCATAATTTTCTTACGTTTATTAGGTTTATAGGTTATTATTTTTTTTTCCGATTCTCAACAGACAACGACCATCTAGAACTAACAGTTACCGTTTTTGAACCAACAGATCATGGATGGTAACGCCCAAACGGAAGTATCCAACAGGAAGAACTTGGGAATGTTTTGTGGAGAGATTGAACAGACAAGAACCTTCATTTCGGAGACTTCCTTCGTCAAAATTATCTTCAATGTCAACAACTTCACCGAGGAGACTTACTTCAGCTTTGACTCTCGCGTGGAGCAACAGAAGGAGGTAAGAGGCAACGGAAAGTGGGGGGGGGCAACAGGAGGGGGGTAGACAACGGGAAGGGGAGACAACAGGAGGGAGGAGGAGGGGTACACAACGGAAGGAAAGGAAATAGACAACAGTATGAGGTTAGCTTAGGTTAGGTTACGTTAGCTTAGGTTAGGTTACGTTAGCTTAGGTTAGGTTACGTTAGCTTAGGATAGGTTACGTTAGCTTAGGTTAGGTTAGGTTACGTTAGCTTAGGTTAGGTTACGTTAGCTTAGGTTAGGTTACGTTAGCTTAGGTTAGATTACGTTAGGTTAGGTTAGGTTACGTTAGCTTAGGTTAGATTATGTTAGGTTAGGTTAGATTACGTTAGCTTAGGTTAGGTTACGTTAGCTTAGGTTAGATTATGTTAGGTTAGGTTAGGTTACGTTAGCTTAGGTTAGGTTACGTTAGCTTAGGTTAGATTACGTTAGGTTAGGTTAGGTTACGTTAGCTTAGGTTAGATTACGTTAGGTTAGGTTAGGTTAGGTTAGATTACGTTAGGTTAGGTTAGGAAATGCGAAAAATTCATACAGACGAAACGGAGAGAGATAAAACAGCCGATAAAACTGACGAAGAGAATAATTTGATGTTACGGGAGGGAGTCATATCCGAGGAAGACAACGTAGAAGGCGATGGAGGAGACGCTGACGAGGTATCTCTCTCAAACTTATGACAAATCAAATAAGAGAGAAGTTGGGGGGGGGAGACTCCGCCTGGTGACGTGAAGACCGGAGCTGGGGAGATGATGTGAGGCTGCGGGAGGAGGAATAGGGGCGGGAGGAGGAAGAGGGGCGGGAGGAGGAAGAGGGGCGGGAGGAGGAGGGAAGGGAGGAGGGGAAAAGAGGCAAGGGGAGGAAAGAGAGACGGGAAGAGGAGAGGCGAGAGGAGCCAGGAGAGCAGTCGAGGAGTGTGATATTCTCTCCGAGTTAATATTTATCGTGTTTATATATATCATGCAATATTCACCTTCAAGTTATGACTCAAGGACCAATCCCTCCATGATAACAAATACCAACATTCATCTTACACATTATTCTTACATTAAATGAGATTTTATTCATAGACAACATGAGCTAAATTATAAAACATACAAACGATAACATGTTCTTCACGACTCGGGTACAACAGGTGGTTCATGACACTTAATGACACAGGTACAAGAGCGCTTTAACAAACTTACTATGACAACTTCTATGTTACAGGTGTTTGGACGGTTTGGGCCCAATCCAGTGCTTTATCCGTACCGCCGGGGGGAGGTCGTCCCTGGCACCTACTGTGAGAGGGTCTTCACGGATTGCAAGCTGCAGTCGTGCTTTGTGCAGTCTCCTGGGTACCCGAGTGTTTACCCACGCAATCTACACTGCAAATACTACCTCAACACCCGCATGCCCTTCATTAAGCTCTATATTGAGAATGAGGAGTTCAACGTCGATGGCCAGCGCTGTGAGAACCCTATGATGTGTCCAATGCGTCCCCTCAGCACCAACTGTCCCTTCGACTTCATCCGGGTTTACGACGGCAAGAATGAAGAAGCAGCTCTTATTGGAACGTTCTGTGGAATGGGTCGTTTTCCTCACTCCATCATCGGCTCGGGTCAGGACGTGATGGTGGAGTTTGTGTCTTCCCCCGCTGGTCCATTCCTTAATACAGGATTCCACTTTAATGTCGGTAACTGGCCCGGTCACGTGGAGTCCAGCGGCTCACGGAATGGAACATGTGACTGGGTGTTCTCCAGCGACACGGTTGAACGCGGTCAAGAATCCATCTTCCTGTCGCTGGCTCACTGGTATCCTCCAGGAACTTCCTGCTCTTACTTAATCCGTGGACGTCCTGACGAAGTAGTCAGGATGTATTTCCCTTCCTTCCGCGTGCGGCCCATCGAGGCTCCCATCCGCCCATATGACGGTGACTGTGGAGAGACTCTGATCATCTATGACTCAGACCGTGAGGACGATGCGAGGATCATGAAGATGTTTTGTGACACATTTTCTCGGCCATTAGAGAAACACGACTTTATATCATCGGGAAGCGCCATGTTTGTCAAATTTGAGAGTCGTACAGGGAGTTACGATGGGTCGTCCCTCTACTACTGGGCACAGTACGACTTCTTCAACAACACACACTATGGGAAGCCCGTGGAGGACACACTATGTGATGAACTCTTCGAGTCATTCGTGCGACCAGAGGGCAAGTTTGGGTCTCCCCTCAACACTTTGCTTTACAAGACTGATGAAGATGTATTATGTCGCTACCACTTCAAGGCCCCACGTTACCAGTATCGTCGTATTCTCCTTACTATAAACTCCACAAACTTCAAACATAATGATGATGAATGTATGGAATGTCTAAATGATAAAGTAGACAAGCTCAAGATTATTGATCCTTTCCGTAATGGTACAAACGTCTGCATCTGCGACAACTGGCTCACAGGACATCGTCTTCCTCCCCACATTGTCTCCAACGGACCTTCTCTGACTCTTGAAATGCATGTCGACCACCGCCACGCTATGCAGAACTACTTCAAGTCAGCAACACCAATATTTGAGGGCACCTATAAGTTCATCCACAGCCCCATCTGCGGCCCCACGGTCATTCCCGCCTCTACTGAAGGGAACATCGTCTACCCTAAATATGAGCCATACGTGTATGGCGGCTACGGCGAGGACGTCCACTGTATCTGGGAGCTGAGGGTGAAGCAGGAGCGAGATGTCTGGCTCTATGTAGACCAGCTCGACTTTTCCCTCAATGATTGCTCACTGGAAGTTATCGAAGTGTTTCTGCCTGGCCATGACCGCCCCGAGTTCACCATCTGTGAGAAGGGAGACACGGCAGACGAGACCAAGACCAGCATCCTGAAGGCCCGAGACCTAACAGAAGGCGCTATCATCATTCACTTTAAGTCGTCAGCACCTGGACACTCAAACTTTAAGTTAACTTGGACGGAGTTATTTGAGTTGCCCAGGAACAGTGACGGCACTGTCATGACCTCCAAACTGATGGCACCGGGGGAGTGTGAGTTCGTGTGTCCTGGTCAGGCGGCTTGTATCCATGATGACTTGGTGTGTAATGGCGTCCGCAACTGTCCAGGCAACAGCTCTGGCGCAGCCCAGCACGACGAGGCGCCTGAGATCTGCTTCTCTCGAACAGGCTCTAAGTTCAACTACGTGGCTCTAGGGCTGGGTGCTGCCGGCGGCACTGTGGTGGCCGTGGCGGTCATCATCCTCGTGTGCCGCAACTGTCGCAAACGACCCGACGACAACACCTACTAAATAAACTATGCAAACTATAGGAGCCACAACACACACAAGAGGCAGCTCGACCAAGTGTCTACAAAAGCCGAGTGTCGAAGAACAACAGTTGTTGTGCACCAGAGACCATGACGTACTGTACACAGGAGAGAAACACAAGTTTATAACAAGAACCCAATATATGTTGTGTGGAGCACCGAGGGTATGGTCAGAGCTAGTGACGTGTGGAGCACCGAGGGTATGGTCAGAGCTAGTGACGTGTGGAGCACCGAGGGTATGGTCAGAGCTAGTGACTGTCTAGTAGTTTTGACCAATCGTTTCTTCCATACCAAACAACACAGTGTGGGGCCTGGCAGTCTCCCCTGTTGGCTGGTTGAACTCAACAGTTCTTATGTACAGTTATTAACACTGATCTTCTTTACGAAGACTTTCATGCCCAGGTGTAAGTGTGCATAACATTATATATATATAAATATATATTATGACTGATGTACGTGTCAAAGACTCCGTGTAACCTGTATATACAATTTATATATATTGGTTTAGTGTCCACTAGTACGAGGGGTTCACATGAATACCTATGTTTTTCTCATATTCGTGGGTCCTCATTTTAAATGAACAAAATCAAATTTGGATTAAGTACAAACATGCCTGTTAAGTGAACAACCAGTCACAAGTTGCATGAACAACAATACTACAACACAATAACATTGATCAACTTCTACAGCAGTGCATTGAACTCAAGATATTGTTTATGGAACAATTTTCCATGATATTTGTCTTCATTTCAAGCATAGCAATATGTTAGCAGGATTTAAGTTTAAATAAACTTATCAATAAGTTGCTACAGTATGTAACGAGATTTACATTTTAAGGGACAATATTTATTTTCATATTATAGGTTGTCGACTCCTTACAGTAGGCAGGCGTTGTGTGCTTTCTTTATAGGTGGTGGGGAGTGTTACCCCAGTCGGTGCACGACACACCCCGGATGTGGATCAGTAACCGTGGCTACTTCAGTCCGTGCCAAGTGAACGTATTGTTGCGACGTCAGAGTTCCAGGTCTATTAGTTTATCATTATCTCTTAGCTGCTACAGCTGTTGTACTGCAGGTGAGGGTGTCGACAAGCCGCCACCACCGGCCATCACACTCTAGTGGTGATCCCTAGAACTACAGTACAGTGGTCGGGCCTCAGAACCACTATCAAGAATATTTTAATACAAAGTCGTTCTTTTCGTTCTTAGTCATGTTATCAGTCCTCACTTGTACCTGACGGAATAGTGAACTTAACTTGGCACGTCTGAGATGACCACAGCTTTATCAGGATTCAGGCAGCTATTATGGTCAGACGGCCTTAGTCCATACACCACATTTAGTTGGACTTTGAGAGATGACCATCACATAATAGCAAACTCATTACCACACGTATAATGAACAAAACAACTATATTATTAGCCTCTAAAACATTACTGAATATTTAAATGAGAACGCCATACTGTACTGTATATCAAATAATTGTTCTTGTAAAAATGATAAACATCAATTAGTCCTCAGCAGTTTTAAGACGTGATCAAATATCATTCACAAGAAAGAGTAAATCATGCACTGCCAAGAAAGGTTGAACTAGGAAGTCTTGTGAGCACGATGACCTCAGATATGCAGGACCGTCGACCATGTTAACAGTACAGAGGCACTAACTGTTGTATTGCTGTTTACTGTCTTTTGTAAATACGGAAAACATTTATATAAGTTTGGTGATTGTTTGTTGTGATTTGCTATATATATATATCTGTATCTAATTCTTATAGAAGATTCCCATACAAAAAATAGCCATTTTTAGCTACTGAACTGTGTAACTTTTTAGTGTTGCGCTCAAAGTTTATTTCGTGTTTTTAGTAGTCAATGTAGAAATACCCTGAATATTGTCTTTTATACTGCTTTGTAGTCTCTTCAACAATAAGAGATTGAGTTACACACTATAGGAGGTCGAGGGTGTTGGCTTGACTATGACCTGAGGTGATGACACTCCTCAGCCCAACCCAACCCTCCCCACTCACTCCTCTCCCCACACAAACAACTCCCAGTAAATCCTTTTCCTAACATGGCAGGATAGTTTTATAAATACATTCATCATAATATCAATCTTTATCTCAGAATATATTAGTTCTCCTGTATGGTTTTTGTACACTGGCAGTTATACTTTTAAGTTAATATAAGGAAGCATTACGCGGTGTTGCCACGTCACTCACTCACCCGCCTTCACACCTCCGATTACAGATGTAGGTAACAAGATACTGTACCTACTATCTTTACATTCCAACTGACATGTACAGCTATCAATGCTTCCAAGGTACACAATATAATGTACCCAAGTACTATAAGTCATGTTAAGAAGTGATATTAAACAATGCTTCCAAGGTACACACAGTGACCTCCGCTACATCACGCGAGAAAACTAATGAACAGTTTCCACAAATGATCCTAAATAACTCCTTACTCTGTTCCCGGTGACACATTGCAAAGATTAAGAACTGGAGAAGAACATTTATCATCTCTGTGGACAACCTAACCTAACCTAATCTTGACCAATCCAATCTTGTCTTGATAAACTTAACCTACCTAACCTAATTTAACTTAACGTATACCTTTGTCTTCTATCCTAGAGTCATAAGGTGTCCACACAATGTTCTTGACCAATATGTGATCATTATTACTTGTACAAATGAGTAAGTTACATTATCACGACTAAATATATTACCATAGAAGATGTCTTGGAGTTAATTATTTTATTTTGCTGGAATTGCGTTATTGTTAACTAGATTTTACTGATATTGTAAGTTCTGCATTCTAACTCAAATACAGATGACTGGATGTAGCTGATCTGTTAATGGCAATATATAATTTTTTTTTTCTTTTTTACTGAGAAATTTGTAATTGTGAAAAAATACCTTAGATTTAAAGCCCTTTTGAATGTGAGACAATTTATACGTATTTGCAATAAGCATTTTGTATTAAAGGGAAGATGAAGGAAAGTGAGAAATGTGTAGTATACGGGACCGACTCTGAATGCACTCATATCAAGTTTCCTAAGATGGACGCGGCGTTTTTGACATTAGCGCTATTATATGTCACTCAAACTTTTTATGAGACATTCTCTTTCTAATGACTTTAATAAAATCTGAATATAGAGAGCTGAGGATAACCAAAAATGCTATCCCTGACAGTGCTTTTTATGTCTTAATGTATACATAACGACAGGGTGTCTCAGAAAAATATATATACACTATCTTACAGATTCTCGTGGTTATCGTATGCGCGTATTATAACAACAGTATATTCTTAACTTGGTGATGTGTCAGGTCTCCCACAAGTTAGGAAAATATTGCTGTTGTAATGGAAACATTCACAAGATCTTCACGAAGAACTTTATGGCAGTATTTATATTTTGTAGACAACCTGTATATTAGAATTTCTCGACTATGTGTATGTGTGTGTAACTCCCTCAAAGAAAGATGATATTATTCTATTACCTAAATATTTCTTTCAATTTCAATATTAAGGAAGTATTAAATTATGTTTCATATCCCACAAGATGTCTTAAATACCCAGTGTTATCTCTCCCGTAGGTTGACAAAACACCACTATATCAAGGTCACGATCTATCGACACTGCTAACCAAACTGTCATGAAACTACAACTGGACCTTAAACTATATTAAATCTTCATAACCTACTGATTCCCACGAACTAAAATAAAACTAATTACTTATTCTGATGTTGTAAGTAATAAAACCTGTGTGTGTGTGTGTGCGTGTGTGTGTGTGAACCGGGTGTAAGAAAGTGTGATTGTCGTGGTAACTAGGGCAACATGATCTAAAGAGTGGTTGTCGTGGTAACTAGGGCAACATGATCTAAAGAGTGTTCATATGGCGGCTGCTGGGGTGAAGTGCAGCTGTGTGTGGCGGACGGTGACGGTGGGTGAGTGGGTGGGTGTAAAGCTATACCTGTACACTGTGTCAAACTGTAATATGATAAAAATTAGACAACATTATATTTTAGTTTCGTAAAAAGCTTTATTTTATTGTCCTTAACTTTAATGAAGGAATGTTATAGTATATAGTGTATTTATCAGTTGCCTGTGACCAAGAAAACATGTAATAACAATGTGTGAATAATGAAACTCAACCAAATCTTTTGTTAATAAAAGAGTTAAATTTCCAATAATAAAAAGCTGATATTCACATTACTGTAAAAAAAAATGTCCTATCTTCATGCTACTAAAAATACAGGTATTCTTAATTGCCCAAACAAAATGAAATCTTAGATCAATAATGTGTTTCTACATACGAGCACACAACACGGTAACAAGTCATTAGTCTATATGTGTGACGGTAAATGAAACGACAGCGAGTAGCGACCAATACCCGTAAGAAAGAGAATGGGAAGCCCTGAACGTCGTCAGTACAGTCTCGGCGGTACAACATGGAACTACCCTCAAGGATAAACTTATACGTCTGTCACACGTACTGGTAACTCATCTCTCATCACCAGCAACAAGAACAATCTGCTAGCTCGAGTTCTTCACCATAAAAGAAGCTTTGAAGTTTGAAAACCCAATTTATGACCGGAAAGAAGAATTAAGAGATCTATCAACTGCCAGCCACTAGTGCCTTAGGGAGAACTTGCTTAAAGGCAGGTTACACTACCCTGGCAGACAAGGAAATTAGAGTCTAGTGAGGTCTCAGATACACCAAGCGAAAGTTTGTACACCAACATTGTCCTCAATTGTTGTTGCGTGAAGTCTCCCACACATGAGGACAATGTGTAAGACTGTGTATACATTTTCTAAGACACCCTGAATGTTAAAAAAAAATGGACGCTCTGTAACACAGTATTCATTTAATTCATAATAATTCCTGAGCAGAAAACAAACATTCATCGGGAAAATACTCGTAAAAAAAATCACTTATAACGACGAAATAAATCCTAAGACACAGACATACACCTCTGAAGATTAGGCATTCCAACTTATTTCACCTTATTATTAAACACTTAACCTAACTGAACATAATCGGTTTAAATCTAACCTAACCCCACAAGGTAGAGTTCGGGTGTTTTAATCATCAGATGAAACAAGCTGGGGTCTAATCTTCAGATGATCAGGAAAATTTTAAAAGAAATGTACAATTATTCAGAACGCTAGAGTTCCCTAACAGGCATAAAATAAAACAAATACCAATACAAGATATGGCCACTAACTCAAAACTTCATGTGCCTAGATTAAATTGCACTGTACTTGCTCACCTTCATTTCCCCAACTGTAGATTAAGGAGTTCACTATTGATTCATTTCATCCCATTGATTACGATAACACCTCGAGTACGATGATTAAACCCTTTGAGTACGATGACCAAACCCCTTTAGTATGATGACTAAAGGGTAAGTCAATATGATGCTAAAAAATACAACGAAAAAGTTCTTAAATTACTAAGCGTTTATTAGCGATCAGTCAGGTGCGTTTTGTAATTAACTGATAGATACTTATTCAATACAAAAAATCATTAAAGTTTACAATTGGTTCAGTAGGTATATAGACACCGCATGTATATAAACACAGGTATACAGTATAATTAAAAGATACAGATATACAAACAATGACAGTGCGGGTATACAATCAACGGTAAACAGTAAGACAAATCAACCAAAAGTAAACAACAAACATCATTGTTATTTCCATTAATGATTTTTTCCTAATCAGACATTAAAATCAGTAATTAATGACGACATACGCGTCACCGACTTTTCATAGAAATAAAATTATAAAAAAACATTTTAACCCATTTGCCCAAACTACGACAGTGTCCACTGCTAAACAGTGAAATTCATTCACTGTTTTACAGTGGACACTGTCGTAGTTTGGGCAAATTTGTTAAAATTAAATACCTCAAAACTTAGTGAAGGGTTGAATCATCCATATAAAATACAGTAATTGGTTGTTAAGACAATAGCGTGTGTAGTTGCGGCTGAGGGAGTTATGTATTTATTTCTCTCAGGGATACTTTTAGGACAACTGAAGACTCCATACCGCAAATTATCAGAATTCATATGTTATACTGTTATTACCGAGCCTTTATAACACGTAGCAGGGATATTATTTACAGTACTCCATCTACAACGAAAACATGAGATACGGAATTCTCAGTGTCGGAGAGCATGAACCATACAAATACTGTACACCCAACAAGGCGTCCAGCGATGTTTTCTGTCGTTGTGTTGTTATTTAAGAGGTTTAAATGTAAATAAGAAAGAAAAACATTAAAGAAAGGTTATATTTGGATGTATTTATGGGGATTCGTACCGCCGACTAGGGAGAACTTACTCAGACGCCTGGGGTAACAAACTTCATATAAGGCAACTCCTAATATTGTCTCGAGTTTCCATAACGTTTTACACTTTATTACTAAATTTGTCATAACATTATTTAAGCTATATCATAAAAAATAGGATAACACTCAGTTTTGTACCAGTAAATTAGTTTATATATAATTAAATGACTAATAAATGCATAAATTAGAATCCGATCTTAACAAACAAACAAGAATCAATTTGACTAGACAAAAACAGTGTTGGCATTATATAGGAAGGAAGGAAGATACGATAAGCCTTTAAAAATTCTACTCGACACTGGATGATTGCGTGACGTAAACAGAGATCACTATTACCACAACCCGTAGGAAATATACAACATGTCAGTACCACTTGTTGACTTTAATGAAACAAAAATAATAATCAAACACTCACCTTCAAACTCTGGTAACTGTGATAAAGCGGCGTGAGGTAAAACTTCAATCTCTAGAACATCATCGACCATATCTTTCTTCAGCAAAATCCATGATAGAATTCACCGGATATTACGAGAGGTCTGACCTGTATCAACTCTGGCAAGTAACTGAGCCACTGAGGTAGGGTGTTAAGCCAATGGGGGTGAATCATAAGAATAAATCCCGGAAGCTGACTTAACCTTATCACCTGATGCGGATGTTAGGTTTTAACTCACAAGGGATCGATACGGTTTGATTTTGTGAGGTCGAGGGAAAAGGTCAACGACTTAACATACTAGTGAAGAGTAAAGTATCGTATCCTCACTGGCGCCTGAGTAAAGTATCGTATCCTCACTGGCGCCTGAGTAAAGTATCGTATCCTCACTGGCGCCTGAGTAAAGTATCGTATCCTCACTGGCGCCTGAGTAAAGTATCGTATCCTCACTGGTGCCTGAGTAAAGTATCGTATCCTCACTGGCGCCTGAGTAAAGTATCGTATCCTCACTGGTGCCTGAGTAAAGTATCGTATCCTCAGCCTTGGAATATAAATTATTTGCATTTTCTGAAGGGCACCAAGTGTGAGGGTATGTAATAGGATTGTGTGAAGAGTCAGTGTTGTGTTTTATAAAGGTTAATATTGAGAGATATAACCATGACTAATATATAGTTTGATTTATTCATTTTATTGAAAACTTTGATAATTTTTGTTCAGAACAGTTGCCATTAACTTTTATTCTAATAATTTAAAATATAACTGAATACAATACAAAACATTTCTTTATCACTTCAGAATACATTACAAAAAATATAAAATTCCTAAATATCTGTAAAGTTGTTTCCTTTTCTTACCTAGATACTCTATGATAGACAAGTCAATATAAAATACTTATCTAAAAAAAATAAGTAAAGTATAATAAGTATTGTACCACTTTGGTCTATATGACTGTCTTCCCCGTGTATACTAACATCAACTGACTGTACTATGATTTGATAATAATTAATATTTACTTTCTTCATCTAAATAAAAAACAAAACATCTCAATTACTGTGATCCCATTTGGTAAATTGCATCAGATGAGAACTAAAACTGTTAAGAATAAATTACAAAGTACAAAACACAAACAAAAATAATAGAATTTAAGATGTATTCAATAGGTAAAGTTTACTTACTTAAAGAGACTATAAAATCAGACCCTATTATACTTTGTTAATGAAATGGCGGCTGATTAATTCTCAATGACGGGGTTAGTATCTTGGTGCATGATATTATATTAAATGACTATATCAGTATTGTATAACATAAGCATTCTCTATATATTTCAATTACTTCTCTGACTAGAAATATTAAGAACTTTATTATATGGGAAGATTTTGTTGGTGGCAAAGCTGAATTGCATGCATCTCCCCTCCCAGCATATGACCTGGGTTCAATCCCTACTGTGATCAGGTGTGAGAGGGGTGTTATCCAGTGTATTCCTACCAGACATTACAGGTTTTATCCAGCTACTGTACTCCGGGTTTTTGCTGTACCAACACTGGGTAAATAAATGTTATAACAAACTAACACAGAACAGAATAACCGCCCGAACGGCTATTAAGGTGATAAGTGGTGAAATAATAAATAAAAATAAATAACTCCATTGATATTTTGCGTACACTTTAAGAGATAATATAGATCATTATTTTATCTTTTGTTCTTGATCAAATCTGTACAACCCACATGGCTTAAATTTCTTTTATATTATGCAAATTAAGCTTCACCCCCAAAAAATTAAACTATCAACAAACACTGGAGCCATGTAAACTGTGATGAGAATACAGGATGATATTGTCTTCTGTGTTATACTGTAGTAAAATATATCCTGACTTTAGGCCAGCTTGTACTCAACATATCTGAGAAAATGGCTGCTGAGACAATCAGGTTCGACTCAGTAAGACAAAACTCAAGCCTGTATACCTAAATATGTGACCATCTGTGTAGCAGGTAATGGACAGTGTCACCTCATGGACAGTGTCACCTCATGGACAGTGTCACCTCATGGACAGTGTTACCTCATGGACAGTGTCACCTCATGGACAGTGTCACCTCATGGACAGTGTCACCTCATGGACAGTGTCACCTCATGGACAGTGTCACCTCATGGACAGTGTCACCTCATGGACAGTGTCACCTCATGGACAGTATTACCTCATATACAGTGTCACCTCATGCTAATCAAAACACTAACATAACAATTGTTTTAGGTACTGTAGGTCTGATGGGTCGTGAGTAGCAGAATGGATGCAACACAGTGAAGACTTCAAGTGACCTGGGAGCAAACTAGTGACTATTGGCCCTGTATCCCGTCCACTCTCAGGTGTAGGGAGACTTAAATAATTCACATAATACATCTATCAACATTTTAACTGACACAACTATAGCAATTATTCAAATCTGGAATAACTGAAGATTAATAAATATTCTCTACACACTATTTACATGTGTCTGGTATAATAAAAGGTTCGATTAAAATATACCCGTTGAACAAAAGTAACAGCAGACAAGAGAAAACATTTTACACCCCTGAGTAAATCAAGTGACAAGTGACAACTAATAAAGGGAGGCTGTGTGCGTACATTCGTGTCTGATGTGTACATGTGTGCTCTTGATTCTGGCCGCTGAAAAAAACCAAACAATATAACCAGATATCAAACAATATAACAATGTAATATAATATAAAGATACACTATTATACCAGACAAAACTTATATACTCAGTAAATATATAAATTAAAGACAAGAAAACAATGATTATGTCAATAGAAAAACAAAATCAGAATAAAAACAATTCCAAAAATGTGTGTGTGTTAAGGGCGAGAGTTATCACATTTGACATCACTATATCCGGCCCTTACACATATCTGGTTACCTTACTTACCTGGAGGTTTATTCATTATCATCATCATCATCATCATCCTAACCAGTCACCACAATCCTCATTAGAATTATCATTATCATTGTCATCATCACCATCAACAATAACAACAACATTTCATGGTCATTTTCCAAATTTCTTTGTTTTTCATTCACAAAATTATACGTACTTAGTAACATGACATTCACACACACACACACACATTCACACACACACACACACGCACACACACACACACACACACACACACACACACACACACACACACACATTAGTTTATTATTTTTTTTATTTTTTTTTATTAACAAAACTATATTTAACCACGTATAATCCAGTTATTTGTTTTTTATACAAGAATCTTCATATAATAGCAGTGAGGATACGACCTTATCACCTTAGTAAATAATTGATGGCTTTGTTATTGGTCCAAGTGCCTTACGGTTTACCATTGTTTGTATAGCTACACTATCTATGTACTGTACACTGTATAAATACGCTAACTATAGGCATGCTAAACTGTATACCTGTATTGTCTATATACATGTTGGACCAATTGTAAACGTGTATGACCATTTTACTGAAGAAATATCTATCTATCTAATCTGAAAGTGTAAATTCTGCCTAGGTAAAAGTATTTTCTATTATCTAAAGTAAAGTTCAAAATTGTAATTATGGAAATACATTACCAGTTATTTTTCGCTGTCCTTTTTACTCACTTTAAACGCTAGCAGATGAGTACTATTTCAAAACCTTACATTTAATTAAGTAAAGTATTAAGAAATAAAATGAATATTACAATGAATGAAGTATTAGAGTACATCAGATTTTCGTTATAGCCTGTTCGTTGTCGCTGGGACCGTTGTTAATGTTGTGGTGGGAGCTGAGCCAGGCAGCCGTCCTGTCAGTGCCGTTAGAGAGCATTGAGCCAAACTGTTGATCTCGATGTTGGTGTTGCTGCCTTAATGAGTCCCCTCTCTGCTTGCTTGGTCCATCACTCTTAAACGTGTTGGTGGAGGCGACACTGTGGGAATAGCCAGATATTATTTATAAATATTTATCGTATGAAAGAGTAAATATATTAATTAGTTAGGTTCGATGCATATTAATAGCTTAGTCATGGAATATTTACCTACACTAATATAATTATAATATACTAACTTTTCAGGCCAATTCTCGCCAATACATTATCAATAAAGCCACAAACACATCACATAAATCAAAGATGGATGTTCTTATACCACAAACAACATTATTAGTTTCTCTTACACAAGGAACACTAAAAATATTAATCTTTCCAACATAGTCATTAAATTTAAATTCTCTTATACCAAACACACTGGAACTAGAGTCTCTTTATGTCAAAAATTTAAAATGGTTCACCTTTACGTAAAAAAAATGGAGAATCTGACAATATAAATGGGTTGCCGTCACACCACACAAGAACTCTTCACACCACACAGATGAAGCTCTGTGGATCTAACATCACCACAACAGGAGTCGGGTTCATTAACATCTCACGACTAACCTTACACACTCTGGGTCAGCCTCGTCGATAACGCTGTGAAAGTCCACACTGGCGCACTCCACTGCACTCTGCATGTCACCCTCAAGGCTGTCATCCACAGTGCGGGCAGAGGTAGTCCGCGACCTGGACAGTGATACTAGGTAGAGAGAGAGAGAGAGTAAGATGAGGCAATACACAGACAAACGCACACCATCACGACTCATAAACACCTTTAAAGAGATGTCAACATGATATAAGAGCTTTCAGAGGTACAGAAGATTCATCAAGTAGGTTCTCTCACCAGCTGTCTTGAAGCTATAGTCTGACCGTGCACTAAAAAAGCTCTGGCCACTCCGAATAGATTGACGAACTTCACGGGGTGGTACTGTAGGTGTGTTCGGTCTATTCACTGTGTTATTGTTTCTTCGAGGGAACTTCCAGGTGGGACAACTTATGCCCTCTTCAGCTCCATCTGGGATATTTACTACAACACAATATCAGAAACAGATTAACACAAGTGGTGAATGAATTAAGAATCTTAAAGTACCAAACTGTGTTGACCTAAAACGATATACCACTACAGTAGTAATAAGTTATGTATAAAACATTAATTAATCTTCAAGGATTTTTTTTTTCAATGGTGGAGAAAAATTTACAAGCATTGGCGGCAGGGTTCTTGATAGGTGACAGTCGAAAGATACAACGATTTAGTTTTTTTTTTCTGTTTGCTCTTCTCCTTCAGTGATATGGCATTGTTATGATTCATGAGGTATTACTTGATTTCTTCAGTCATATATGTATCGGGTGTCCCAGAAAAATGTCCCTGCCTGCCTGCTTCCTGCCTCTCTACCTCCTTCCAACTCACAGTGTCTCAGGAAGGGAGGCAGGGAGGGGGGCAGGGAGGGAACGAGGGGGGAAGGCAAGGACATCTTTCTGTGACACCCTATATAAAAGATGATACAGTATATTGAAGTCATAAAAAATACAAAAAAATGCCGTAAATGCTACATAGAATACAAAAAGAGGTGAGTGGTACAGTACTTGGTTCAACCCAGGGCAGGTCGATGGTAGTAGGTAGACAGAGGTGACCAACAGCAGACGGCAAGACGACCACCAGAGGAATCACCCACACAGCCGCCCACCCTCCTTCACCACTCTGTAATATAATAAATCCTCTAAATTTATCCCATCTACTTTAGTGCCATAATCAACAGTCATTAACCTCACAGGTCAACAGGTGCAACTCAATCACCTCAGTGGATAGCCTTGTGTAGTATAGTCATTGATTACTGTTCAGGTTACATTAATTACCTGGTGTTTTGGGTTGAAATCATTATTGGACACCCCAGGTATCATAAACACTTTAGTAATTAGCTGTTTTTCAATGAGGTCAAGTTTTATAAATGTCAGGTTACAGAAGTCCGGAGGGTAGAGGTCAGTTAAGGTCAGTTGGTAACTATAAGATAGAGATTTTCAGTTGACCCAGTGTATAAAACTAGTCAGGTCATGTCGTCACTCCTGCTGTTCCACGAACCCTGTGATTCAAACTCATGAGCCCGAAGCACTAGACTGTTGTATTATTCTGACCATAAATGCTTAAGGTTCACGAGTTTGAATCTCATGATTCGTGGTTCAGGAGGAGAGGCAACAGGACTTTTGACCGTGACTGTACAGTACAGGAATCTTTATGAAACACTAAAAATGAAATAATTAAAATTAAACTATTAAGGGCCAAACATCTGAAGTTCTCTATGAGATCTGTAGACCGTAAGTGAATACCTGGATGATGTTTGTCACACCTGGGCAATGCCGGTGACCAAGAGAGGGGTGAGCGCAGCGGTCACTACCTCAGCTTCCTTGAACACCTTGACGAGATGCCACTCTTCCCAGGGGGCAAGCGATTTCAAAGTATGCTTATTGCCATATTGCATTAGGTAGAGACCACAGCCCATGGACACTGCTGCTTTTATCAGTCCATTTTTTGTGTTCATCCCTCCAACAGCCATTAAAATAGCGGCCACTGTCACAATCACACCGCCTGTAGGAGCAACTCGTGTTAGATCAACGTGCTTCATATATAGTGTGTGTGTGTGCGTGTGTGTGTGTGTGTGTGTGTGTGTGTGTGTGTGTGTGTGTGTGTGTGTGTGTGTGTGTGTGTGTGTGTGTGTGTGTGATATCTAACTTAATCTAGTCTTAAGCTTCTGCCGAGTTCCAGCCCCTACACATGGAGAAGGTCGTGGTAACAGAACTCACGACTTTAATAATAAACAAAATGTCTTGGTTAGTTTACCCTATAACTTACCTATGACAACTTTAATATTCTTGAGGAAGCGAAGGCAGGTTCTAGCAATGAGAGCGTAGCAGGTCGCATCCACCTGATCATCAATATCATCACCTTCAAGGCAGAGATTAAGCCATTCCACGTCCTCACAGAGGGAGGTAAGCGTAGTGTAGAAGCCAGCCACCAGTAATCCAAGTAGAGGCGCGCCCATTGCCCACCACCCGCCCTGTAAAACACACTCTATTATTCAACACAATTCATTTTATATTGTTTATTTTTAGTGCTCTACCAATGATGCTAAATAATAATAATACTGCATCATGAAACACCAAAATCAAAGTAATAAACAACTCAAATGCTTCACAAACTCTTTAGATTAAACTTTGTAACTGTACCGGATGTTGTATACACTTTCTTCGTGTCGTGTTGTGGTTACTCGGAGACAGCAACAAAGGGTAATGTGTGTGACCAATCATTACCATCTGCAGCTATCAGGGCTAGAGGCTTATGGGTCTCCACTCCAAATATTTTTCCAGTTGTCATCCACACCGGTTCTGCCTTACCCTGCCCCTCCCCCCCCCTACCCTCAATTTTACTCATTAATGTCTATACCAATCTCCACTCATCCCTAATTATAAGTCACCATCAGTATATCGTATCTACTGTGCTATAAATATTCACTAATTCTTTAAGTCTCAGGTGAAACAAGTCGAAGGTCTCCAGGTGATATGAGCTGAGGTGCCTGAACTCTCTCTCTCTCTCTCTCTCTCTCTCTCTGGCTAAGGTAACGACAGCAAGGTAATTGATGGTACTCACAGCAGATGGATCAGTGAAGATATAGGTGAAGCGGTAAGACACAGCCACAACCAGAGTCTGCAGCACCCACATGGAGCCGACGTGTATACCCGACAATATCCACACCGACCTGTTCTTCACCACCTCCTTCCACGGTGCTCCCTACAACACGTAAAGCAATATCTTGGTTATACCCTTTCTAACGCCTGACGCTATGGCTAAACCTTCACAACACACCAATGAGGACCCGGTAACACTGTCCTAACACATCACTATCTGGCTACACTGTCACAGCTTCTTCACGGTTTGGCTACACTGTTAGTATGTTAGTGTGTGTGTGTGTGTGTGTGTGTGTGTGTGTGTGTGTGTCATACAGATAGCATCCCTTCGCTGTATGAAAAAAGCCAATAGATCATGAAAATATATTGAATTACTTTTCGTTAACAACACACAAATGACTATACATGATATATATATAACTTAACAAACAACCACCAACTCAAAACTGACCTCCTAAGTTATACTAACATGATGCAACGTGATAATGAGGACATACCTTATAATGTTTGGTGACGCTGGTGTGGGGTAACATGATGCAGAGTACGGTCACCAGGAGGGCTAGGCTACCCGTCAGATACGTCGTCAAGTACCATGGCTTAAGTCCTGCCAGACCTGTACCCAGCAGAGTCCCCAAGTCTCCTCCTACAGGTACAAACACTACTTCCTCATATCTCCTTCAGGATATTGTCATAGATGGAATTAAACTGTTTATTTTGTTATATATTGTAGCAATGATGATGATGATGATGATATTGATGGTAATGGTAACGTTAATGAAGATGATCACTCAGAGGTCAAAGGTAACTCACCTATACTAACGAGAAAGGTCATCTTTTTCACATAGACGTCAGGGATGGCGTCCACCACTCGCAGAACGGAGGGTAAACTGAGCCCCTGTGAGTGACAAGATAAATATTACCTTCTTACCTCAACGTAGTAGTAGTAGTAGTAGTAGTAGTAGTAGTAGTAGTACTCCTCCTACTACAACAACAACTACTACTATCACGGAAAAATGGTCCCTAATCTTACCTTATAACCATACCTTCTCCACTACTACTACTACTACTATTACTACTACTACTACTAACTAATAGACAAGAACACCTGTATAACACCTGTCAGACGCAAGTGACTTACCTGTGTGATCCCCAATACGAGCCTAGAGAAGAGGAGCAGCCAGGGACCCCCCATGGAGGCAGCGTGGGTGAGCAGCCCTATGAAGCTCGCCACGCCCATCGACCCCGCCAACACCACGCCCACGCCCACCCTGACACATAACACACACACATACGTTATAAATTTACCTCATGCACTGTTTAGACGTGTACAGGTCATAGGTCACTGTTTTGATATTTTTACATGAATAAAAATTTTTTGAGGGGAATAATAACAAAGTAATTTATATCCTTCACTATTGTAGGATTATCCTCAAAGCCCTCTGATAATTACTGTTCTTTTGCAAGTTATGAAATCAATTTTAATATTTGGAGATCATTAAAAAAATAAATGAAAGTGAACAAAACAAAATGATTTACGCACCTAACAACGTACAGTAATGCAACAAACAAAATTACAGAATATTTCGTGCATCAGAGAGAGAAATTTCACTATTATTTATCAATTCACCACTTTAAAACAACGTAAATGCACCACAGCCAAACAATCACAGACCACAAGAAATAACAGGATAAGTAAATAACACAATAACAAAATCAATGGGGGGAGAAATACGTACTTGCGAATGAGTGCATCAGCGAAGTGTGTAGTGAGGAGGCTGGTCCAGTTTACCGAGCTCAGCACAACACCCTGAATTACCAACGACCAACCTTCCTACAGCACACAACTGGGTTATACACCGCCTTATGTTCTTCACATCATTAATAATATATAAATACTCTTAACTTTATGAATAACTTATATACTTGTATTCTTAAAGTCAATAATATGTTACTCTTTTAAGTTCATGAATGATATATATATATATACCTATATTTCAACATAACTTCCACTATAACGCAGGCTATATTATTAAGTTAGGGTAGGTTAGCATTAGGATGTTTTAACTTGAGGCGAAATAAATCGGGGTTCCTAATATTAGTGTCATACCTTACTTACTTTATATATTATTCTGTATAACATTAAATATATGCAGTAATGCCGTATAATGAAACACTATTATGAACATTGTACACATTGTATCTGGCAGTGTGATCCAAAACTTGTGTGAATTGTTGTGGTAGAGGCGATGACAACTCGACCAAGCGATAGAATGAGTGATGTTTGGTTGACTCATTAACAAAATATATCAAAAAACATTAGCATGGTTGAATTAAATACGAATTATGCTTTCTACATAATAATATACTCCAATTAGACACATTCAACTACTATATAATCTAAGAAAAGTAATCTAATAAGATATACTGTCATGCATCATATCATTTACATAACATACTGTTCACTCCATTGTGGGTCACTTTACCTTGAGGTGTGGTAAGTCGTCGGTCGTCTTCTCATTATCAGATCCTGAAACTAAATAAACGCTTGAGTCTGATTCCTGTAGTTCGCTGTACTCGTAGTCATCATCAACATCATCTGAGGAAGTGTCACTAGTTCTTGACCTTCCCAACACTGATGGCCGAACAAACTTAAACATATTTCTAAAGAAAGTTTCTTTATTGAATCTGAATCTCTCGCGAATTTCTTGATGTACCTGATCATTACTTTGTGTTTTTCGAAATACAAAATCAGTTGTTTCATGTGAGTGGAACGTGTTAGGTGTTGAGACGGAACTGCTGGGTGAGGCAGAAGTGAAAGTTGATTCGGTAGCAGTAGGTGTTTTACTAGTGGAGTCTGTACTAGAAGTAGAGACTGGGCTTAACACAGTTGGTTCACTTTTCAAGGATGTCAATACAGACTCAGTTGTAAAATAAGTAGTGTCATTAGGCAGGAAGGTGGTGGTGGTATTGTCTGAAGGTGCAGGATCAGCAGCTATGGTGGAGAGGGCAGTGATGACGGCGTCCCGCAGGGCGTAGTGCAGCAACAGGACGGCACAGCACACCAACAACCTTATCCCACCTGCCGATATGGATCACAGTTGTTACACTGATCGTCGCAATATACTCATTTATGGAATTAAGTGTCTGGTAGTTATGTTGGCTACCTTCGGTCAAATTTCCTTATTATTTACCAATATTGGCATACCTGCACCGTCTATAAGCGCATTAAAAATTCTATACCTGCACAGGTTATGTACTGTCAAAGAAATAACCATCTTCCCAAGTTTTGGCGAATATATCGCGGAAAAGTTGAGCCATCCGACACACGCATTTGTGCACATCGTAAACAGTTGACAGGCCTGTGGCACCTTGGCAAAGGCTAGCCAGTTACACCATTGTTTTGCCAAATAACTTACTTTTTCCAATGACAATTCATTATTTGGAGTATGATTCTGTATTCCACAACTAGAATAATAAGTCCACTATTTCGTTGAACTGGACGCGTGTATCTAATCGTGCGTACCAACAAACCAGATGTAGTCACGAATACGTTTTTGGTACAATCTGGCAGGTTGTAATATACATCGGCCAAAGCTGAGAAGATAGTTGTTTCTTAAACCTTGACACTATATACCTGCGTTGTGCAATAAACTACAGTACTGCCAAAACTACATATAGTTATCCTTCATAAACGTTCTCTAGTAACATTGCAGACCCAAAGAATCTATTGATGTTAACAAAAGAATGAAATTTTAGAATAAAAAAAATGGCAATTAACTTTACTGATTTGGGCCGAGTAATTATTCTGGTGAAATCTATTCTAGTACAAGTCGACGTAATGGCAATTCATCTTAAGACTTAAGGCTGAAGTAACCGTAAGTTGTAATAAACAAAACATATTTTTTCTTATATTAAAAGTTTATCTACAACAACACGCGAAAAATACTTGTACTCAGATAATTGTATGTATCCCCATGAGAGGTAGGCGATGTCAAGTACAAGTTTAATACACCAGTGAATGTGTGTGGAGTGGTTGTCCCTGCTTCATGCACGCTGCCAAGGATACTACACCACTGTGGCGCCGTGACATTTGGCTCCCCATTCTCCTGGCAGGGAATAAACTTATAACACAGTGTATCAGAACCATATAATCCTCATAGCATAAAAATCTCGCTATTTTAACGAGGTTTTGTAAGTAAAAAAGTCCTTCATCCGTGACCTTCCTTTGTCTTAAATTTACTTTCGTGTCACTTTTAATAGCCCGCCTGCCTGCCAAGTTTTATCAGTTCGTATTGACTGACAACAACACACACATAGAACCTAAACAATAACCTCTTTTGGCTCTGCCGTGACTACTGTAGATGGAACAGTACTCACCCCTTTCATCCGTAAATTTCCACATGGTGACTGCGACAAGGATAGTGAAAAGGACGGCAGGTTAGGACAGGTGTGTCACGGGTGGTGGTGAGCCAGAAGACAGGTGTGTCACGGGTGGTGGTGAGCCAGAAGACAGGTGTGTCACGGGTGGTGGTCACAACTACCGCAAGCCCACATGCCGACACCCACACTCACTTTTGTTGCCGATACAGAAAATGTGGGCGTGGCAGTGGTGAGAAGGTCAGTGTGGGTGTGGTGAGATCATTGTGGGCGTGGTAATGGTGAGGTCATTGTGGGCGTGGCAAGGATGAAGAGGTCAGTGTGGGCGTAGCAATGGTGAGGAGGTCAGTTGGGCGTGATGTGAACCTGTGTAATGGGAGTGAGTGAGTAGGTGACACTATTTGTGGTGTAAGTGGGCGGGTCAACTGGGTGGCTCACGAAGACTCCAGATTCTGTAAGGATAACGTTATAAGGTACAATTTAGTACATTATATACATTTTAATCGGGCCCTCGAAATATTATCTAGACTGAACGAAACCTAATAATTCATCTCATGACCTTACAGTATACGTTTTGTAATGTATTTGCAGAGTAATGTCACTAAACTTGCACAGCGAACAAATTAAAGTACATGCGAGCGTTTATTCTCAAAGAAATGTTTTATCATCTATTTATTCATCATTCCAACACTTAACAACTTACTTGCCATTCGGGCGGTTAATGTATCTTTATTATGACCTTTACGTTCAAGTGTTATTACTGCAGGAAACAGAAAACCTGTCATGTTTGGTAGGGTCACACTAGATAACACCCTTCTCACAACTAACCAGAGTTGGGGATTGAACTCGGGACATAACTTGTGAGATACACGAGTTAACGCTGTGCCACCAACATGTCTTAATGCTTAATTGTTCTTTGATGTTTCTAGAGTATGATATGTGTTGATAAGGGTAGTGAATGAGCTCCCCTGCCCCTCCTCCTGACTGATAACTGGTAAGTGGACTCAGAAACCTTGGCTACTTGATCTTGATATACACAAGCCAAACGAGATGATGTTGGCAGAGTTGATTTTACATATCCAAAACGACCACACAATACACACATGACAAACAAGGTGGCAAATACATTTATGATACCTCCATACCTACACATGACACAGGGCCACAGCCACACACACACACGGGGTCACAACTACACACACACACGGTCACCACTCCACACACACAAGCTGAACTATCAAGTGATACTGTGAGTGTCTTGTCAGAATCCGATAACCCCTGATTACATTACACTCGAGGCTTTTGAGATCTTCGTCTCGGGAGTATATTTATTCACTATAGGAGCAGTTGCTGATTCAATGTGACTCGAATATAATTATCCTATAATCCCTGAGAAAAAAATATAGTAATGTTGAAATCAAGTTTATAATCAAATTAAATAGTATTAAAATTGGTTTATTTTTTAGTCACCTTATCGCGCCCACACACACACCTCACCTTAGTTAAGTTTTGATTTGACGATTGTATAGCTTTGGTAAGTCATTACAGATATTCCTTATCACTAATGCTGTCCATAAGAAGTTCTACTTCAGCCTCCAATCATGGAAGCAACTCGCAGCACGCACCTACTGATACCAACACGTGGTCATATGTCTGTATCTAGTGTTTAATAATTATGTAAATGTTTCTCCACAAAGTCTGTCCAAGTTACCAAGAACAATTACTGAAGAAAATAATTTCATTGTTTTAGAATACATAGATGAAGTGAAGAATAGGCACCCCAGATTATTTCATCTTATGTTTAAACCTAATGCTACCTGGGGAGTTGGGTTGGGTTACGTTTAGTATTAGGGTGGTTAATCTTAAGGTGAAATAAGCTGGGGTGCTTAATCTACATATGATTCTAATATGGGTAGAGTATAACATTATCTAGAAATATGTTTCTTTACTGTATTTCAGTGTAACATGTCCCGCCATTCCTTCTCTTATTTATTAGTTAATTGATGCCTTTCAACATCTTTCGAATCCATGTTCCCTTTGCTACCACTTAATCAACTCGGTTTACCCCGTCCGATGAAAAGACAGATGGACAAACAATGGGCAGACGAAAAATAATTCTAACACGAGTATAAACCACACAAAACCTTCCCTGAGCCTTGCTTATCAGGGTGAAAGTCATAGTACTATATCTGGTTGGTTTAGGTCTACAACTTTATGAAACATTTACCTAATCTCTCGGACTGACACTGACCACTTGCCTAGGAGTTCTAATATTATAACACTTTGCTAGTCACCTGTGAAGTTACCCAGAGGTCATCAGTAGATTCCTAGAAGCAACAGTCACGATCAGTTCTTAAAAGTTCCTCCAAATGGTCCGCCGGTAACTAGAAATACAGTATGTACACAGCCTTAGTCGACGAACCCTTTACTAGTGCAACCGTCGCACCTCGGTCCACTGCTCTTATCTTAATGACAGCCTTAATCTCTTATCACGAACCTTCACGGTATTATCTAGTCTCACATGGGGCCTTGTGGCTGACAACACTACACCACTTTATTTATCTTGTGGAGTAACTGCTCAGAGAAGGGACCACCAGAACTCACGTTGTTTATCATAGTCTAGTCCCCGTAATCTTTGCTTTTTTTAAATCGGTTATGACATTCCTCTGAACTGATAACACAATACCTCTACAATAAACTGAATTTCATTAAGACTTCAAAACTCGGTATTATCTTAAAAAAAAAAAAAATTACTAAAAACTTTAAACAATTACTGTACTTCAATTTATTACCCAGTATTCCCGGCACAATAATAGTTTTCGTTATACAGTATTTGTTTTGTTCTTTTCTTTTTGACACGCACCACAGAACTTTTAATAATGTTACTATCAACAGCTTGGGTATAACTATTAAATTTAATGGATCACATGAAGATTAGTTCCCAAGCGTATTTCACCATATGATAAACCATCCTAATGCTAACCTAACCTACCACCAACCCCTTCCCCAGGTAGCCTAAGGATATTTAATCATCAGATGGAGTTTATCTTCATGTGATCCTATTTTACTTACACACTAAATTGACTTACCACACTTTTAAATTATTTCTACCATTATACAAATTACAATAGCTTAAAAATTTGGAAATGCACTATAGGCACGGCAATTAATCAGGCTACTACTGTATACGTATCACACATCCACCGAATACTATACTATATCACTTACCTGCCAAATAGTAGCACATATCTGTCAAATTCTGACACATAACTGATAGATATCCCAAACTTCCATATACCATCAGATACTGTAATACCCAGCCCCTAGGTGAGGTGTTAGACAGAGTAGAAACTTGAGCTACATCATTCCTGAAAGTAAGACACCACCAACCAACCAAATCTACCCAAACAAGCAATACCAAACCTACCAAAATAATCATATGTTATGTAAAGTAATGTTTGATTATTTCAAGTCATATGTCGTCATATTTGATTTAGCCCTTCGCAAATCTTCGCTTTAGTTTCGGGTGATAATATGCGGGAGAAAATCCAGAATTACTCACACCAAAAAGGGTTCCTAATATAGACCAAGGGAAGAATGAGAGAGGTAAATAAAATAGGGCATTCTGAACTTTGGCAAACCTATTCAATTTTATCCGACACTCCCTTCACGACACCTTCTTATTCTTCAACCTTAAACATTACTTTCAATTCATTTCCATTATTTCAGTTTAATTTCTCCTCTTCTATCCATAGCATACAGTATACTGCATTTGGCTCAATTCCTCTCATAATACAGTTCTATCTCTCTATACATACCGTTATCCAAAGGTACCTGTTATCCTCTTCTTCCCCATCTACTCGACGTTTTAAACTATCACCCAACTCACCCATTGTTCCATTTGTGCTCACAGCCAAACCTAGATATCTGAAAAATCTTCTTTCATACATATTAATATTTATAGTACCTTGTGACCTTTCTGTAAAATTTGAACTGAATTTTCACTCGTTATTGGGGATTTCTAACTCTATTTACCAACTACATCCTTACTTCCAATAAATTCTTTTCCTTTAAATTTACGAAACAACCTTTACCCCCTCCCCAATTGTCCTTCCATTTCCAAGCCACAATAATCTTTTCAGTATCCACTCCTCCCTGCTCTCTTCATTCCTCACATGCAGTTTACTTTATTTCACATCATTTACAATATAGTGCAGATCTTTAGTATTCATTTCCAAATCATTCAATCAAATTCACATTAGTTTTTTTGCAGAAAGAATAATGACTAGTAGATCCTTCATTAATATATATGTAATGTAATCTTAATAAATAAAATGTCATACTGTAGTTGTGACCCAACCAAATTTAATTTTTTTTTTTTAATGGTTGTTAACCTATGCACTAAGGGGACACTTCTTTCACAATTGTATCCAGCTCAGATGGGAACCCATACAATAGGGGTTAAGTACCCAGGGGACCAATAGTGTAATCTTAAAACAGTTCCTAAACTTACTAATATTGCTTCATGTATCCTTTACAGTATAAAAATTATGTAAAAAATATCACTACTGTACATCCATCAGTGGAAAATTATCTCTCAAAAGCTATTATGTAGGGGAAAATAGAGGTCAATGCAAGGGGTGGACACTCATTACTACAAACTAGAAGATCAGAAAATAACAGTTGGGTTGGAGAGCTGGTAACTGCTGCAATGGACAACAGAGCAGTGACACCATGAATGACTACCAGATGTTCCAAACGTTTGTACAATATTTAGAATACAGTTCAGTGTATGGAAATATTTTGAAACTGCCAAAGATTACTACGGTACAGTACTGGATTATCATAGTTCTACTGCATAGGATATATCAACTTGTAAATCCAACTTAACAATAATAAATTAAAGCCAACACTTTACTTTCACCTCAACGATGCACGGACGGCATATACCTGTACTGTACTGCCACGTTTGAGAAGTACTTCCCTCTCTGGAAGCCCTCGAGACACTTCTGAAAATAAGATTAACACAACAACTTCCTACATCATACATATCTCTGGACTCTCTATATTCTTATGCATGGGTTAAAAGTTTCACAAGTTTTCCTAATACCTGTACATATTAACCTGCTTCGTAACATTTGACCCTTGGGTAAGAGCGACGAATGTATATATGTTTATCTCGGATCTTACGGAAGATTATTGAACAGTTGGGTTTAGAGCAGGTAAAGTCCAATAATCAAGATTAAAACAGGTTATAATACTGTAGGTGTATCTTTGATGGTCAGTGACATTACAACTGCTGGCCTCTATCACCACCTTTGTATGCTTAACCCGTATGTAAATGGCACAGCAACAAATGATATGTGATTCTAAAAAAAATAAAAATAAAAGTAAATAAATAAATATATAAATATAAAACTAGTACCGGTAACATCTTTCAAACATTGGACATGTAATTACTATTGTAATAATCTTAGTCCATTCTCAGTGTCCATTCACAATTATTATTTTCTGTTCTCTTCAGTCCCATACTGTAATGGCTAATGGGTGAAAATATCTAAAAAAAAAAATAAAAATTTATAACAGCTTTTGTCATGGGTCATTACACATACATTCTAATAGAAATTGATATTTTATTTTGGAAGTATTATGAAGTAGATTCAAACTTATCATGATAAGCTTGTGACAGATGAAGCATGTCCTCCACACCTTATGGGGAGTACAGGAATAAATAGCCACTTTTTTATAAATTTCAAAAAAAAAAAAAAATTGCCTCACAGAATAAGGTACAAGTACAGTATATCCTAAAATCACAATATATATATATATATACTGTATATATATATTTATAATATAATATAATATAATATAAAATCAAATGAAAACATCAGGTACAATATGTTCTCTTTGTAAAAAAAATCTTTCAAAGGAATAAAATAAAAGATGATATCAATATTCAGATATAACATACTCCAGTACACACCCACTCTCGTGACGTTGAGTCGATATCACATAAATGTACATCTTGAATCATAGGACCAGTGATTTTGTGGATACAGTGAATATATACAGATGATACGACTATTCGGATATAACAATTTTGCTCCAGCACATGATTACCCGGTGATGTTAAGGTAATGTCATATAAATACCTAACTTGAATGATAAGGCCAATGATTTTATAGATTCAGGAGAGGTCTGGTCTGAAAGCTTACTACTGAACCTCTTTTGGAAACAACACTTGTGCAATGAAAACTGAATTTGGTTACTTTACAACACATACATTAGCTTGGACAAATCTCATATACCTGTACAATACATACAAGACTTAGCTACTGCAATAAAGTAAAAAAATAAGATTCAGTTTTCACTACTTATAATTACAACTTTCTTACTTCTGCAAGAGGTTTAAGATTTATGGATTTCAGACCCCTATCTATTTTACAGAATCCAGAAAATCACTGGCCTTAATTGACCTCCATAAACATATAATTTCACTTTGGACATTTTAATAGAAGTTATGTACTGTATTTTATTATCATCAAACTGTTTCCCAGACATTATTTACTGTAAAAGTATTAAGTATTGCAGTTTCTAACCTTCAAACATCCTTTGCCTATCTTATTGGATCATGTAAAGGCAAAGAAATGACTGGTATTCATTTATTTGTACTTGTCATCTATACAGTTTTAGAATTTGAGCAAATAAAACATGGACACCAAAGCGATGGAAATATTGGAGCAATTGTTTCTTATTTAAGTCCAATGAAATGTGACACCCATCATGCCGGAATATATAATAGGATTTTGAATAAAACACATTAAGACATGGAATAATCAACACATCTTATTATTTCCTTGTGCATTCGGTATAAAAATAAGTTAAAGACATTAAATGAATTGAAAACAAAAATCTTTTCCTGATTGTTGCTAATTTCAGGACAAAGTTCAAGTTTCATGAAACATATAATGATCCACTTTAGCACATTTTGAGCTGTCTAGAGAATTACTCGGTCCATTTGTTAAAACTGCTGCACTATTGTTACTTTCACTGTTGGGTAAGCTGTCGTTTGTCCGAGTTGTTGATGCAAAAAATTTTTGAGACATCACGTTATTTGTGGTCGCGCTACTTAAGACATTGCTACCGTTATTTTTATTATTAGATAATAAGAGTCCACTGGGTACACTCAAAGCATCTGCCGACGAAGATTCTTGTTGGTGTGAAGACGTTAACACTTGACTACCACTGCATTCACTGTTTGAACATTCGCTGCCAACCTTGTCACTTAAAACACTTGAGGAGGCACACAGTAAGCTGTTACTTAGACTAGTTGCTGAGGAAGTAGGTAAAGAAGTGGAGGAATATGTGGATGTCAAGGATGAGGATGGTAAAGATGTCAATGAGGATGTGGAAAATGAGGAAGATAAGGAAGAAGAATGAATTTCATCACCCGTCACATTGCTTGTACTAAGTTGAAGCCCCGATACTGCCAAGGGAAGCGTGTTAGTTGAGTCTAGCGTCACAAACTTGGATGTCGGTTGAGTGGTGAAATCTACGGAATGTTGCTGTTGTCTATTAATTGTACTACTATAATTTGATGCCCATTCACTGTTCGAGAGATCATCCAAAGTTATACCACCACTAGCACTAGAACCATCATTCGTCCCACCACCACCACAGTGACCACTTCTTGTTCCATTACTGTTTTCTGTCACAAGGTCCACATCTAGATTCTCTTCGAGGATCACTCCAGAGTCACTTTGGAGTAAAGTGTCCAGATCTGATGGTATTGACACTTCTAATTCAGTTACATTTCCAGCAGCTTCACCATCGATAACCTCTGCTGTGATGTAAACAGAAGTTGGCAATGTAGATGCTAGGTTTAACTCCTCGGCGGATGAGGTGGAGTTGAGGTTCACGTCGGGAGTTAGAGTGACAGGAACTCCTACAGTCTCTACATCTATTTCCACATCTGTGTCGTTGTCCTCTGGTGGGGTACTTGGGCAGAAGTGTGGCCTGTAACACATGTAAATTATAAACAATGACTTCAACACCGAAAAAGTACAGGATGTCTCAAGTGGTCCTGGACGTACGAGGAGAAAATTAAAGTTTTCTATTTTTCTTTTTCAGATGAGAGAATCGTAACAAATCAATAAAGATGGCAGAAAAATTAACACTAGACGAATTTAATCAGCAACACCCAGTCATAATGACGTCGCTGATCTGTGTGCAGCAACTGGTTTTCTGAGTCCGATAGTCAAATTAACTCTTTCCTCTAGTGTTCACTTCTCTGCCGTCTTCGTTAATTTGTTATGTTCCCTCATCTAAAGAAAATATACAAATAAATAATTTCCCAAAGATGCATGACCTATGAGACATCCTATACAACACAACACCAACTGTTATGATATGAGGTCAAGATTGATCAACGAGTAAGACTGTAATGTGCATATACAACAAAAGAAAAAACAACTGTCTATATAAAAAAAAGCTGACTAAAGAACTTTACTTGTATTTCATAACCCTGTATTTCCACGTGCCCACGGAAAATTATAAATACAGTAAAGCTTCGAATAACGACGTTAATGTGTCCTCCAATATTGCAGTGCAAGGTGTCTTATCGTGAATCATAATTACCATTAAAATAAAGTAATAACAATGAGACGCGTTCCCAAGTGGGACCTTTTCATATCTTTTGTGTGGCTTTTTACCCTCTTTTTCCCTCAAAACAATACAATTAATGAAAAGTGCAAACTATATTCTTTAAATAATGTTTATGAATGCACCTTATACAATATAAATAAATAATAATATGGTCACACAAGAGGAGATGGGACGCCATTGTTTTCGTCTGTGTTTACAGCCGAGAGTCCGGGACGATAGTTCTACACAAGAAAATGAAGAAAATAAGACCCTGGTTGTAGCTGTAGTAAATTTAATGTAAAAAAAATGAATATATATGTTTCAAGTAACGTTATTTAATGTTAATAAATGGAACACTCGAAGTAGCTAACCACTAATGGCAAAGAAAAAAAAAAGATGGATTGGGAACGCCAACATATACGTGCACATTTGGTGGGATTTCCGTATAAAATATAAGCACAGAAAGTTAAACCCCAAATGTAAGTCTAACAGCTGCGAAGTCTGAAAAAAAAAAGACAAGTACCTCCCTCACCTAAGGAAGGAAACATGACATACACAGATCTCATTTGATGTCTAGAACGTTGCACCTCATCTAATTACACCGCAAAATGATTGTTATGAAAAATGTAATGTAGTGTAACAGGTTATTAATGACACTGACGGGTATGTAATGTCTCTGAAAACATATTCTCCTTCCTTAACTTACTTACAGACTTCTTTCTGTCAGTATTCTTACCGTCAATCTTCAACCATTTTAGTGCGAGATTAAGTTAGGTTATGTTAGGGCCAAAGTACATAACTGAAAACTTGAGAGAGGGGGAAATGGAGGTGAAGATAAAGTGATGTTAGTAAGAGGAAGGGGTGAAACAAGAAGTTATACTGCAATGTTTATCTCATATCTAATAATCCTTCAGAGTACTACACTACAAGTCTTACCATTCTGTTTTAACCTCATGGAGGAAATCATTTGTCGCTGTGAGGCCGTTTGGTCCCACATCTCTAAAGTCCGTCTTGAACCACAGATCATCAAGCGGAGTACTTAACCTATCTATCCACATTCTGTTAAAAAGAAAATAGTAAATGTATAATGTCACATAACCAAGCACCATGACATATACCTAGGGGTAGAAATGGGGGAATGGCCCTGAGGAGAGCTTTATAATAGGTGGCTAGTGAATGTGGTCAGGTAGGTTACAGCTTTACTCCATCCAAGAAATGAGTTACTCTCTGAGACTGAAACATCACTAGGCCCAAAATAAAAGCTCAAATCCACTTCAATACATAAAAAGAAAGAAAAAAAATTGTGTGGTGTGGCCATATCGATCCCCAAACTGTTAGTGATGTGGGGTGTACTCGTAAACATCAACTTAACTGTCGTGAAGTTAAGTTATCTATGAAATAGGGTGAAGAGATGGCTAGACTGAGGCCTGGTACTGGAGATCTAGTGAGACTGAAGACAAGCAAGGGCAAGTATACATGCAAGCCTTCTGAATAACCCCCTTTTTTGGAGAGCTAAAGCAAAAATGGGAGAGCTGTACCAAGTGCCAGCTGTCAGCATCATGGGTTATAGCCTGGGTTTTGGCCAACAGACTTGATGCAAAAGATCACGAGTTTCCTTCTGGCATCACACGAAGCCATAAAGAAGACACAATGCAAGTTCACTTTTATGTCAAGATTTAAAAAAAAAAAACTAGATAATTAAGCTTACCTGCCCCCTCTACCGACTCTGCGGCGCGCAAAGCCAATACATCGACGAGTTGGGTGAGCCAAAGAGGTGAGTGAAAATCGGTATCTTGGGTCACCTCCTCCACCTTCATCTGGAGGGACCCATGGCCAGTTGCCTTCCCGGGGCTATGAGGAAGATTGGGAAAAGATCAGTTATCACGCGCCATAAAAGTTTCTCAGCAACAGTTACCTTCGTCTCTGACCTTTTAACACCTCAAACTGTGCCTGTGTATCTTTTAACAGTAATGGTGGCACCTAACACATTTCATACTGATCCATCCAAATTATAAGATGTGATCCAAATGGTAGAGTAACGAGAATTTTGAAGATCAGTTAAACCCTGTACTACGGCAATGCCACTTTAAATATTTGATTTGATTAAAGCCAGACGATTTTATACCCCCGTACACTAGGGATTAGAGTTTTACGTCCGAAGAAGTAACAATAATGTGCGACCACAATACTTACGGCATGGTAATTGGTAAATTTTTTCCTCCTAAACGTGAAGACACCATCTGGTTCATTTTCCTCCTCTGCTTCAGATTGTGAGGGTGAAGCCACCTCATCCTCTGAACTTGGAGGCACATATCCCAGAGAGTCCTACAAGGAAAATAAAAATACTGTTATAAAAAAATAAGTATACAAGTACAGTAAAAAGAGTCAGATGCTACATAGATAATGGTCGTGAAGCTAAAAAAAAAAAAAAAAAATCTAAATATACACAAATAACAAAAAGGTATACATAAAGAAGCCTACAAAATTTCTTTACTCTAAATTGGATACCTTTTGTGGTTTTCCCCCGACAAAGTTGTGGCAGAAAGGTGAATTATTTGTGGTTTTTAACCTTCCATTATAACAACTATTTTGTCTATTACTTAAAACATTTCCTTCCTAATTTCCTGGGAACCTAGCAAGCAACAAGCCAATCTTCAGGAGCTATGAGCGGTAGAGGCTTCTACTTTCTGGCTCACGTCTCCGGAAACAATCATTAGGAAATAAAGAGAAATAGAGGGAAAGGGAGAAGCAACATGGCAACAAAGGCTTATTTAGTGCACCGGATACTTTTGGCCATCCAGTAGCTCACCTGTGGGTATGCTGAAGCGATTGTATATGGGTCAGGAGGGTGAGTGTATGTGGGAGTGAGCTGGGGTGTTGGGGGTGTGGATGACGCTGAAGAAGATATTTGTCCGTGATGTCTCCGTGGGCGCTTTTTGTATGATCTTCGCTCTCGCTTCCCATCCTCCTGTGTAAAAGAATCATTGAGATTGACATTAACGTTTAGTAATTTCTACAGTGAAACTAAGTTTGTTTGTTTGTAAGTTTCATGCCACACTGGTACGTACTCATGAAAAGAAACACAACTACAGATCCTGTCCAATAAAAAAGTACAGGAAGACTTGGCAGACTGAATCTTACCATTCATAGTCACCGAAGAAGAGAATGTTAAGAGGACAGATGTGGGTCTGCAACACACCTGAACTCAAAACGGAAATGTAACAAACTTCTATTAAAATCAAATCAGCACAATGTTAACAAAAGGTGCCCACTGTGGATGGGAGCACAGAAATAATTTGTTGTTTTTTATACCCTGTATTTTGACTTGACATATTGTATCATAATAGTAAAGCGTAAGAAAAAGATTGTTTAAAATATTAGAATAAAAATAAACGTCACACAAGAGAGTAAATTAATAAATTCCCTTTATTTCAACCACCGTATATACTCGTGTATAAACCGATCTAGTTTGACCCGTGACATTGGGGTAAAAAAGCCTGAATTTTTCATATACCTCTTGTATAATTCGACCCAAGCTTTTGAGAAATACTATGAACAGTGTTACCGACTCTAAAATTAAATTCTCGCCAGTTACCAACTCCAATGAGGAATAAGATAGATTAATATATACATGTACTCGTAAATTTTTATCATGTAAGGAATAAATAAAAAATAATACCAATAATTAAAAAAAATACTAAACAGCATTCCCTCCCCCTGCTCAGTTAGCTAATACCTGCACACAAATAAATGTTTATTCCCATTGTGTTTGCCTTATGATAATTATTTCTTTTACTTTTTTTTTTGCACAATATATAAGTAGGTTTGTATGTGAAAAAAAAAGGAGAGAAACAATTTTCGTATATCTACCAGAAATTACAAAATGAAAAATAACCATAACAGCTCACAGCTCCGCGTGGTAAGTAGAAGACTATGGCAACAACGCCGTCAGTGACGTTAACAGATGCAAATGAATAGAAAATCATCTGAAGATCTTCATTTGTAGATTTAAAGTAGCATATATAGTGAATGAGGTTCTGCAACAACATAAAGAAAGGCTCGAAGGTCACGGTAGGCAAGCCCAGAATAAATTAGCATACTTAGCGAGCACGTACCGAGTCACTCACCCTAAATGACCCGTGAAAATGCATGAATTTTAAACCCTCATAAATACTGTGTACTGTATACAGTTCAACTCCCAACTGTTTGCATAAATTTGGTAAAAAAAAAATTAAACTGTACTCAAGTACTGTATATACGTACAGTAGTCTCGAGTACAATAAAAAATAATGCATATACAGTAAGTCCTCGCTTAACGTCGTGGTTCTGTTCCTGAAAACCGTGACATTAATGGAACCAATTTTCCCCATAAGAAATAGATAAAATACCAGAGTTACGTTCCCCAGCCTCCCTTTGCCCCATAAAATACATTACATATAGTACAGAAATTCAATGGAATTTTTATTGAAAACAGTATGTATTATACATCCAAAAGGATAAACTAAATCATTTTGTATTGTACTCACTGATGAGAGGAAAGTACGCACTGTAGTGGGGGGTTAGACCTAGTGCAACACCAATGTCCACCACACGTTCACCTTTCTCAAAACGGTTTAAAACCTCCATTTTCTAAGCAAGGCTAATGGTCTTATGTTGATTCTTCACAACACTAGCATCACTAGCACTTCATGGGCACTTGAAAGCCATTTTGAATGGTTACAGTACAGTATTTAGAGCAAAAGCACTTAAACACGCACAAACGCTATGGAAGCCTAACAAAGATTGGGGACGCTGTTACGCTCCGCGAGAGTGTAGCCGTACGAAGTAGTCTGTGACGACGTTATACCGAATTGGCGGGACGTTGTCCGAATCATGGGTATCTAAGGAGTAGCGACGCTATAACGAAACAACGTTGTGGGGGGCAACGTTAAACGAGGACTTACTGTATTGTACTATTCCAGGAACATTAAGATACACATATAACTGTTCCTCCACTTAGTCACCACATGGACAAACATGTTTAGTCGGAGGAGGGGGGTGGGGGGGGCTTGCCTGCTTGCTCGCTCACTATGATGTCCAAATTTCAGCTCCCTAGTTGAAGTGCTCAAGATATTACCCGGACATGCAAGAAGAAAAACAGAAGACCACCAAGTGTCCCCCCTTCAGGAACTTTTATCCTTGAGGCACCTGAAGACAGATTTTTACTTCTCTAAATTAAAAAAGTGAATATTTAAGGACTTATCACTCCCTGACTCATAATTAGAAGGCATATAATATTTCACCTTCTAAAATACCAAACTGTGAGTAAGTCGAGAAAACTCAGGTGTGTGTAGACTGGCCGAGGGTTATGTCAGCCACTAATTAACAGATTAAATAACTTTGAGTTCTGTGTCTTAGAGGACTTAAGTTGTTATTAACTGTTCAAGTGGGAAATGACATTCAGAATTAAAGAAGGTGCATTCACACTCATCTGTTTTCTTACCTGATACCAAATGTTAGGGTTGTGGTGTCTGTTGTGAGTCATACCCAATACAAAATTAATAAGCTCTGCAGCTGTGTACCATCATCACAATAAGCAAAAGCAAGAAGCACACACACACACACACACACACACACACACTAAACATCTTTCAAAATTCCGTCACATAAGCAGCATGAGTATTTTGTCATTACAGTACAGCAAGCATGCCAACATTTGGTAGAGAAATTGTTGATCTTTATAACATGGGTGAGGTGAAGAGGCAGCAAAAGGAAGGAGTATAATTAGAGATAACAAAAATTATGTGCTTAGGGGTATTTTGTAGAGTAAATGGGACAGTAGACAATTTAAAAAACAGATGCAAGAGATGTGGAAGTGACAGATGTATTGGGAAATGAGTAAATTCCACTCTGTTCCCATGGTAGGAAATAGGAAGTGTAAGACTGGTAAAATGAGTGTATTATGTACTACAGAAGTGGAGAGTATGAGGAAGAAGGTTAAAACAAGAAAAGGATGGTGGACGGAGTGAACAATGACCTAGAAGTGAAAGGGATGGATATCACCAAGCAGCATGTGTGAACGTCAACAGATTATGGCATCGAGTGATTTTTGAGGAAAGCCGTGCAGCTAATGGGTAATACTGGGGTGTGAGAAGTGTTAAGGTTAAAACAAATATAAGACCATGGTGTGGAAGTGGTGTAACATGATAAACCATCTACCGCAATAAGAAAGAATGAAAGACAAGAAATGAAGGGAAAACAAGTGTGAGTATGTGTGCTTTTGTTACCAGCTATCTTGCATTAAGCAGGAAAAGGTTTGAAAAGACTTATATTAATCAAACTAAACAATAACAAAGCATTCTGCCTATCAAGCAGCCCACCAACCACTGACAGCGATACGTACTCTTTTCTTACTCACTTTGCTGGAATGTGACAATGGTGCAACCTTCAACCAGGATCCACTTGATGTAGCACTCGAGGCTGTAATGCCAGATGACAGCTGGTGGTTGGAGAATAGGGGAGCAAAAGCAGGCCGTTGTGTCCGCAAAGCACTAACCTCCGCCAACACTGATCCAGTAAAATCTTGCATTTCATACCTGCACAAAATGAAAGGTACCATCCATTAGATCTCCTTAGAAATTGTATAATATTTATTTAAATATAAAATTAAGGGAAAATTACACAGTAGGGAAATTATATACAATTAATGGTAATATTTCTAAAAGTCAGCATCGTGCCCTGTTCCACTACATCCTTGACCACCGAAGGGTCAAGACGTACCTGGCGCTCCTCTCGGAGCAGCCAGGTCAACTGTTAAGTTGGCCCATACCAACCCCTTCCCCTGAACCCTCCTCCCCACCGGAATATCAACAAGTTCTCGCCAGAAGTTACAATTTCATTTGGGGAAGGAATGGAACCAGTGTTAAACAGAGGTGAACAGTGGTAAACAGTGCTTAAGTCAGTGAGAACAACTCAACGGTAACAGTCGTACCCAAGTTAACCTTCACACAGTGAGGTCCCAGGCACCCAGTGATAACGGCCCGTGAGACCCAACAACAACCAGCGATGTGTTAATCCGTCTACGATAGGAAGGCCTGGGACCAAACCTCACTCATATAACACCATCTGTGAAGGAATTACTACACCACGTGATACCCCCTCATAACACCATCTGTGAGGGAATTACTACACCACGTCAGGTCCCTCATAACACCATCTGTGAGGGAATTACTACACCACGTCAGGTCCCTAATAACAACATGTGAGGGAATTACTACACCACGTGAGGACCCTCATAACACCATCTGTGAGGTAATTACACCACGTGATACCCCCTCATAACACCATCTGTGAGGGAATTACTACACCACATCAGGTCCCTCATAACACCATCTGAGGGAACTACTACATCACGTTAGGTCCCTCCTAACACCATCTGGGAGGGAGTTACTACACTACACGTTTGCTGTTCAACACGTACAATCCTACATTAATCTGTATGTTCACTGTATGTTCCTTTACCTTTCTCTAATGAAGGCTTTTGTTAAACCACCAATGTATGTAATAAGTCATTTATGTCCAATGTATATTTTCAGCCTTCGGGCTGCAGAACTTTTTCAATAAACCGTTAATTATTATTATTATTATTATTATTATTATTACACTGATGAAGTGCCACAACTACAATACTGCCTAAGAGTTTCAGTTACTGCCCATCTCTGTATCTTACAACTATCAAGCCCTTAAACGACTCCCATAGTCTGTGACTGATTCCATCCGTCCCATCCAAATTTGGATATATACAGTACAGCTGATGTTTCTCGTCATTAGCTGGAGGAGGGATGCCCCAAGGTGGGTCAGTATCCCTCTCATAATCCTGCCACACGCTATTCCCTCACGACTCACCTCAAGGACGCTCGTGTGGACACAACCAGAAAGGAATACAATACAGTAAAGACTGGGTTGATCTCAAATTCACAGTTTGCACTTTTATGCAACCCTGCAATTTCATTTTGGAAATAAAATTTGTGGATCAGTCCAATACTTTGTCATTTGCAAGGAACAGCAATCATTGGCACCAAGTGAGTTGACCAGAATCGACTAAAATTCTGCAATACAATTTATTCAACTACAATCTCTAACAGACTTGAAAAAATATCCAAATTTTCCTAAAACCAGAACTACAGAGTATCTGGAAAATTTGGATGCACTGAAGGCGTAAGAATTTACCTAATTGTTTTGACATAACCTACAGCCCAAAAATAATGTTACACAATATTATTATTATGCAAAAATAAAACACACGGTCTGGCTGCAAGAGACAAAGAGAGAGATAGAGAATCAGATCATAAGTTACATGCTTGAAGGCAATATATTATAAAAATATCAAGTAATTTCCTTTGTACCATATAATGGAACAATAACTCACCTTCTTTCAAACACCTCAATATTTAAGTTGAGGTATTCTCTTTTAGCTTTTTCTCTTCGTTTTACCATCTCCAGCAGGGTCACCGCTCTGGACAGATCTCGGCGTAGTTTAAGCATCTTTTCGTAACTGGATTCATCATTTTTGCGGTTCTTTCTGGTCTGCATCTTTTCTGTTCTTTTACGGAAAGCAACGTACGGATCGCTGGAATTGGAACCAGACCCCTTCTCTGTCTTAACCTGCAATATAATAAAAGACATTCAGAACACAGAAAAAATAGACAACAAAATACTATGGTACGAAATCCCCAAAACGAGCGAGCCGCAAGATCTACCACTGCCACCACACACCCCGCCTGGTAGAGCTGCATTTGTCAGACGGCTTGGCATCTTTAGCGGGAATGTCAATTATCCGGGCAAAAAATATCAGTTTTCACCTTGCCATATGAGGGTTCTGATCTACTGTTCTAATGATTGGCCTGGAGACTAATGAGGCATCCGACCAGTCAAAACTCTCACAACCGGCTCACATATACTAAACCCATTAAGAAGAGGAAAACGAAAGGAAGCGAGAGAGAGAAAAAATCCACATCTCATTCTTCTCAAGTAAGAGATTTGGTGGATTGTGGGACAAGATTTTTAAATAAACCCAGAAATAAATGAACAATACTTTGAATGTGTCTTCTTCCAAAATGACCAAAGACCATAAATTCTATAAGGTGTCAAGTGTGAGTATCAAGATGCCCCACCAGCTATGTGAGTACGTGCAGCTGTGAGAAACCAACACCCATTTTAAACCCTTAAACGGAGCCCATCATCAGTGGACGTTTCATATTCCTTTTGGGGGTAGAGTAGGGATTCCTCAACCACCATCACATAATTAAGCCCTGTAATATGACATAATAGACCCATTTTTCAATCACTGTCAGAATTTTCAAAAGATGTATGTTATGATGCAATTTTCACTCAGATATGCTATTCTCTCCCCTCACAAACCAAAACCACCATCATCCTACAATAACCTACCACCATTACCCACTTCCCAACCCTACCACCCACTACCACTACTACCACCCCTGACTCTTGAGCCACCTAAATGAGACCCTACAATCCTGAGTCAGGTAAGAGTCTACCAAGGGCCTCAGCAAAGGGTCTACCTTGTGATATCTAGAGTTGGTGCATCTCTGCTTGTACTGAACTTTGTTTTTATGAAATAATGAAATTCTCTGCATGCAGTATCATGTATCCTTCTCTGCATGTAGCAAAATAATGTAAAATTTGTATTACTTTGAAATATACTGTACATGAACTATAAAAATTTTGAAATTATTGAAAAGGGTTAAGAATCTCCCCCTCCCCCCCCCCACCTCAAAAAAAAACAACATTAAAACTTAAGAAATCCATGGGGCTTATAACTTTTGAAATTAACCATCACCATCAACAAAGTTTCGTGACCATTTTAAACGAATGAATGAGTTAGCCGTGGTTACCAGCAGGCAGCACTCCTTGCAGCTTGTGTCTCATCAGGTTCTAAACTATTACATAATTTCTTAAAACCTCTCCCCCAGGCATTCTTAGCCCTCCCTGGCTCTCCTCCACTCCACATTTAAACTTGTACATCTCTTGATCAGCCTCTCCACATACCTAAACCATCTTAACCTGCCTCTAAGCAACACTTCACCAACACATACTCTCAACACCAAGTCGTCCCTTTAGCTTTGGACAGGATTTCCTATCCTTTAAAGACACATTACAAATCCATCTCGCTATTCTCACTCCAGATCACTCGAGCCTGTGTTTAAGTCATACAAAATCACACTTCTCATAAAAAGTGCATACATCTCCCCTTCATACGAAAAGAAGGTCCTCTTGCAGTCAATAAAGGCAGCAGCTCCCCAAATTTCTTCCAGCTGCTCCCAACTCTTCCAACTGAGCTAACTTCAGTACCCCCTCCAGCACTGATTATGTCACCCAGGTAGCAGAAGTCAACAACATAGTCTAAGAATATATACCCAATCCCAAGTTTCTTCAGTTTTGCTCAGACCACATCCTGCAGTCTACCATTTATATCACCTTCTACACACACTTCACATTATTGAGATGCTACCAACACCTTTCTTATAGACAGCACATGATTTTTTCTTCCACTCTCCACTGTGGGTCCTTCTCTCAAGTCACTAATCCTTACCTTTGTTTTCACCACATTCCTTCTCATACCCATTAATTATATTCCTTCCTTCCATTCCTTAAATTTCTCAACAACCTTAACCTGTTTCAATATCACAATATATACTACAGTAACAGTTGCATGAAGGAAAGAGCTCCAAGTACAGTACACCACCACCGAAATATTTACACATTATTATAGACAGCAGATATTTATATGCATACATAGTACAATCAGCTAAACACCAACACACCAGATGGTCAAGGTTGTGACAGCATAAATGACACTGTACATCCATATGACAGCCAGCCCAAGGTAGCCTCTGAACTATGAAGTCCTTAAGAGGGTCAAGATCTGGCTTTGACCTTTCATACTAGGGTTCATGAATGACATCAGCTTTATAAGGGACTAATAACAAAACTCTGTGCACATTTTTTCACGTTGTCGGTTTTCTCACGGCAGGATTTTACACGTTGAACCCGAGCTTTGGTTAAAATGACTACTCGAGTTAGAAGATTTATGAAGTTTAAAGACATGGATAATTTACTACTACTACTTGTAAATACCACAATAACCTGTCTTATTTCTATTGTGGTTTCTCCTCATTTCTCCAGATACCATTCTTCTATCTCTTCCCTCCCAATTCACTCGGCTAACCACTCACCTTCCTCTTGCACCCCTCCTCACAAAAACTATTGCTCTCTTCCTCAGTAATAGCAAATAATAATGGTAATAAAATGTGTCAAGAAATAACCTAAACTGTTATAATATAATCACCTAAAAGCTTTATAAACTGTGTGGCCAGAACGAAAAAATATGATAGAAAGATTCAATAATATACAATAAGAACACTTCTCAGGTTCACCAGATAGAGAAGCAGGAGAGACTGTGGTATAGATTCTTTTTATCGCTGGTGAGATTCAGAATACACGAGCCTGTCTGTGAGTTGCAGCATACTGACGTGGGGCCTCAGTAGCCCTCGAGTTAACCCATGACTTAGTGGTTTAAATCAGTGATTCAACTGAATGAGAAACTGCTTACAGCACAAACATTGTCCACTTGGATAATGTATTCTACGACTAAACATGTCAAGCTTTCTGATAATAAAGTGAAGTTAAATCATATAAACATACGGTAAGTAAAATATAATAACATAATTAAATAAACCATCTCTATACGAGTATTGTACAAATGAAAATTTTTTCATGATGACAAAGAACTTGTGGTGCCAACTAAACTAAACTGACCTGCGGTCGAGCGCTACAAAAGACATCCATGGTGAAATATTGTAAGATGTGTTGCAAGATCTTGCTAGCAAACTTTGGTCTGCTTAAAGAGAATCATTTCAAATCAGACTCAACAATACCACCAGATTATTTAACTATGATACCTCAATAAGAGCCCATTGTTTATCCTGAGTTCTCATGAGGATATAAACCACCTCTGGTGTTGACTGGGAGCATATTAGGCAACTCTGACCTGCGGTATGAGTGCATGAGCCAGTCTGAGCCGCTTGTTGAGCCAATAGTCGTAGACTGCAATGATGAGATCATCATCGTCCTTCAGAAGCACCTTGGCCTCCTGCAGGGTCACAGCTTTCAGCCCAGAAGCCTGAAAATAAAAGGTAGAAAATTAAAACTCTTATATGACAATTAATTCTGATGAAGTACATCTCATTTTATAAATTGGAATAGGCAACAATTTTGAGTACAGTACAGGTATCCCTTGTTTAGCTTTAGCGAAAAAATATAAAATATATTGACGCCCTTTTTTGGTTTAGCAATACTGTACAGTCACCTCGCATTTTTCGGGCGTTTGTTTTAAGCGTTTTTTAAATAACGCGATTGTTTAATTAATATCCAAACCTAATTTACGCACACCTATTTTTTAAATAACACGCTCAAATTACAGTGACCTTTAATTAACACCTCGGTTAACGTAATTTCGATTAATAACTGCCTTCCATAAGGATCTTCAATTCGGTTAATCAAAAAATTCGCGAACTTCTACTTAACCGACTCAACATGTTTTTGCACTGACCGGGCAACCAGCTTTAGTATCAGTCCGCCAATACATTAATCGGTTCTAGGGCTTAAATTCCTTTACTATTTTTGTAAATATCAAGAAGTTTATACTATTCAATAATTTTAAAAGTTTAATATTCAATTTTTTAGTCATTTTAACAATTATTGAACGAAATTGAAGGTAAAGTGACTAGTTTAATGCGCGGCATCCAGCCTCTTAACACAGCAAACAGGCGTCAGTCTCTCTCTGTTTTCACTGGAGGTAACATCTTGCTTGAGACTCTCTTCAACTAAATGCTTTTTTTCTGTGTTTCCAAGCAAATTATTGGTCATTTTGAAATATATTTTATATATTGACAATATATAATGCAGTGCAGCATTGATTTAAAGAAAATAATCTTGAATTAAACCAGAGAGCTAAAATTTTATGGGTGAAATGGCACCATGGGGTGACTTCTCTTCCACCCCAATGCCTTCTCTTCTTCCTTCTCCTCCACCCCCATTCTAAATCCCATCATCATCATCATCATCCAGGAGCCTTCTACATACACACCTCAAAGTAAGTGAACTTTTCTACCATTTTTGTTGAATTTAGGAAATTTTCGGTGAGCTGGAACCAATTACCCAAAACCCATTGAAACAATGGTTTCGGTTAACGAACGTTTCGGTTAACGAACGACCTTCTGGAACGGATTGAGTTCGTTAACCGAGGGCCACTGTATTTGAAATTTGCCGCGTATTCGCCTGGCAGTTGAGTCGCGTGTGATGCCTGGTGAGGTGCTTGTACGTATTACTATAAAGTCACATTCATATCAACATCAACAATTTTAATATTATTATTAACAATAATAATTATTATAATAATGTAATAATAAAGATTATTACTACTAATGATGATGATAAAGATAATGATGATAATGAAGTATTCTGTACAACAACTATGGCGGGGTCCAGCAAGCTTCGTGGGTATCACTTTCTCAGTTCACACCAGCAGTACTTTTACTCTGTGCGTTCATTTGCTCTGTGTGTTCATCACATATCTTTTTAGTGTTAAACGCCGTTTCCCCCATCGAGCATGTCTGAAATGTCCATCTGCCTCCTCTGGGGTGCCTAAAGCTAAAAAGGCATGAAAAACAAGCGCAATGGATGTGAAATTAGCTGTGATCACCCGCATTCTGAGAGGAGAGAATGTGTCGGAGGTTGGCCGCGTGCTTGGTTTAAGTGAGAGCACTGTTCGTACTATTCGAGACAATGCCAAGAAGATGAAGAACAGTGTTCAATCAGGGATATCTGCAAGTGCAACAAAAACCTCTTATGCTCGAAGTTCTATAATGGAGCACATGGAAAGGATGCGGAGTAAGTGGATTGAAGTCCAAAATCAGCGCAATGTACCAGTCAGCATGTTCCTAGCCCAGGCAAAAGTGCACGCAATCAATGAAGAGCTACAGAAGGATGAAGAAGGCCCAATGAAACCATTCAGTGCTAGTTCTGGTTGGTTCGCTAACTTCAGGCGAAGATACTGTTATCACAACATCAAGATGAGTGGGGAGGCTGCATCTGCCGATGCCGTGGCTGCCGAGCAGTTCATCGGGACTTTGAAGGATATTATTGAGGAGGGAGGCCATTCTGCAAAGCAGATTTTCAATCTGGATGAAAAGGCTCTATTTTGGAAGAGAATGCCAACACGAATATATATCTCTTATGAGGAAAAATCCGCAACAGGCTTCAAGGCCGCTATACCTTACTGTTAGGAGGTAATGCTGAAGGTGACTGAAAATTAAAACTGTGATGGTGTATCAACCATTCCGCGAAACTGCTTCAAGGGTTATTCTAAACATCTCTTACCAGTTCATTACTTTTCAAATAACAAGGGGTGGATAACTGGTAATCTTTTCTGTTGTGTCAAAGTTGAAAGATGAGTTACGTGAATAATGTGAACGCGAGAATCTTTCTTTTAAAATATTAATGCTAGTGGATAACGCCCCCAAGCATCCACCTTCAATTTAAGATCTTTGTGAAAACATTCAAGTTGTGTATCTTCCACCAAATACGACATCCCTCATTCAGCCTTTGGATCAACGAGAGATTAGTACATTTAAGGCTTATTATCTCAACAAAATGTTTGATGCTGTAGTGAAGGCTGCTGATAATGGTAAAATGACTGTTAAAGAACTCTGGAAATTTTTTAACATAAGAGACTCTATAAAGCTTGTTGGTGAGGCGTGAGGCATGGGACAAAGTTAGTCGTTCGTGTATGAATGGAGTTTGGAAAAAAATGTGTCCGCATCTTGTGCTTGACTTAAGAGGTTTTAGTGTTGAAAGTAATCTGTGTAAAACCAGAGAAAACATTGTGGGTTTGGCAAAGAAAGTAGGTCTTGAAGAAGTGGAGTTGAAGACGTGCAGGAGTTATTAGACTCTCATAAAGAAGAACTTCCGCCCCAAGACTTGCTTGACTTAGAATAAGAGCGGGAAGATGGGGAAGCAGAGAAGAAAGAGGAGCCTGAGGTCGTTCGAACTCTAACAGCAAAGTGGTTGACAGAGGTATTCACTTTAATTGAATGTGGTTTGGCTATTATAGACGAAAATTATATAAATAGTGATCGTAGCTCAAAAGGGAGTAGAAATGTACTTTCGGCTATGCGGTGCTACAAAGAAATCCTGCGAGAAAAGAAAACCACCCAAGACATTGTTCTCATATTTCAATAAATCCGGCAACGACGCATCTCAGCCATTGACATCTGGCATCTCCAGACCACAGCCTACCTCAACCACCAACTCACAGATACTCTCGCCTCCGCCTCTGTAGCCTCCCGCCTCAACCCTCCCCTACTCCACCTTGGGCAAGCAGAAGTCGCCAGTCAATGTAAGTATTATTTAAGATGTATTTACTATTGTTTTTCCTTTATTAATGAGTAAGGTAAAAGAATATTAATTGTGAGTTAATTCATTTTTCCCCTAACCTGTACCATTTATACAAGCATTCTTATGGGAAAAATATGTTTAATTTACACATTTTTTTAATTATGCGATGATTTTCAAGAACACAACCCCCGCGTAAAACAAGATGTGGGTGTAGCTTGACTTACTGGGGATGAGGTGTTCTGTTAGATGGTTACACATGTTGCCATTCTTATGAAACTATAAAAGTTGTGGAAAGATTATTACAATACTCTATTGAGGCTTAGAAACAGTATACAGCTGCTCCCCGACTTACGACGGGGTTAGAGACCCAAATCCAGGTCGTAAGTCGAAAATGCTTAAATAATACATAGAAAATCTAAAATGGGTGTCTCTTTTCCTTCTCGGCACCACAAAACTCTCACTTTTAAGCTTGCCAGCCATTTTAAAGTGAATTACAAACAACAATTTTGTCAGTACACAGCGCAATCACTGATGTTGGGACTTGAAAATATGTAATTTGACAAAATTTTGGTACAACTGAGGCGGTCGTATGTCCGGGTGGTCGTAAATCGAGTAGGTCGTAAGTCGGGGAGGAGCTGTATATGTGTGGAAGCAGTGTGCTATAACTGTGTCACCAGCACATGTGACATCATGGCAGACACACAGCACAGTGGCAGCAGCAGCCATACACATGTGAGTTAGTTGGGCAACAACCTGGCTGAACTGTCACATCACTGAGAAGATGGGTTGAGTGTGGAAGGAGCTACTCTTTGTGCAAAACATATATGTACTGTTGTATTTTATATCAGTTTAATTGTTTATCAGAGTATTTTTTTTTCATTGTTGACATCAAATTTGAAATAAGTTTGAATTAGGCTCACCTTGTGATAACTATATTGTTAACTCTGTACCACATCGTTTATATAGAAATTTTGGTGGAATAAAAGAAAATCATATAACTTTGAAACTGATGACAGTACAGTGGGGTATGCTATAACGAATGGATCCTACTACGAATATTCCTATAACGAACGGTTTTACCTATAAAATTGAGAATGCTATAACGAACGAAACTCCTACAACGAACATTATTTAAAAAAAATTTTTTTTTTTTTACTAATTTATTGTTTTTTTATTACAAGTATTAATGATATTGGTTATTTCAGGGGTTTAGATGCATATTTATGCACTTTTTTACAATTTTTACAATTTTATATTATATTTTTCAGTGTTAAGTGGTTGTATTTGGTGGCCTGGAACGGATTAATCCTATAACGAACAAGGTTCTAGAACCAATTAGATTCGTTATAGCATACCCCACTGTATAATGAACTCGTTTACAGGAGGGAGTACTGTACTGTACTGTACTCGGTGTTTACCGCCCGGCCGTTTGAACCTACTGTTCACCCTCTGTGCCTCGCTGTTATCCCTCGTTTGGTGATATTTTTTCTTAACGTTGGGCTTTCACGAACGTAACTCCCACCATTAAATGAGAGATACCTGTACTATAAACCTTACACACACCGTTTTTCCATTAAAATTAAAATCAACCCACAACACTATAATCTTGGCTAACTAAAATACCGTACCCATCAACAGTACACAAAGTTTCAAAAAGATCTCACATTTGGTTGTAAAAAACACGTTTTTTTTTTTACTGGGATTAGCCCACCCGGGCACAGGTCACTGACCCACATCGGGGCCTGGGGGGCGAAAATGTAATAATAACAATGATAATAATAATAAAGAGCCATAAAGAAATGCAAAAATAAAAAAAAATAAAAAATGAGAAACAATATATGTACTGTATGTTGTGTTGTGAATAGGAAGAGAAACAATTGAGACCCTGCAATTGTATGTAAATGAGGCAGAAAGTCAGATCAGTAACCTGGGACTTGGTCACATATGGCAGCAGGGTCTACCATTAGACAACACATTATGCTTCCAATATCTTCCCAGGCGGTAGTACCTCCCTGTTTGGTACCTGCCTACTACCTACATTTTTTCTCTAAAAGTGTCTTAAGTGAATAAATTTTCACAATCATAAATTAGAAAACAAAAGTATGTCTGAGTGACTTAAAAGGGTTGTGTATCTAGGCATTTGTTTCTTAAATTAATAATACTGAGTAACAATAATAGTATTAATATTGTACGTACTGTAATAATAATAATACAGTACAGTACACGGTAATATTAATAACAATAATAAATTAATAATAATATCTCAAGACAGTTTTAACTTTTAACATACAGCTGTGGCCTTGAACTGACAGAGACTAGTACAGTAGAGTCAACGTCTCCTTAATGAATATTCAATGTTTTGATAACGCGAATTTGCTCTAACGCGATTTATGAATTCGGAACACTATTTGTATAACGCGAACGCCTGTTTGCTATAACGCGATTTTTGCTTACTATTTCTCCAATTTTGTGGTATTAACTGTGATTATGGTAAAGAAGAATATCTCCAAAAAGCGTTCTGATGATAGAATTCCCGGTGATTATCGTAAAAGAAAGGATATAACACTTGAAGAGAAGCTCGATGTTATCAACCTCAAAATCACCCTTCTCCCCATCAAGTTACATTCATATTTTTTCAAGGTAAAGTGTTACATTTACTGTATGATTTCATTATTAGATATGAATGTAACATTTATTTAGACTGTGCTATCCTTTATGTTAGGCTAACTACTAAATTTTTTCGATTTCGAGTAATCTGCACCTAACCCTATTTTCTCCATAAGCCCTGTTATTTCTATTACGCGATTTTCTATAACACGATATTTTACAAGAACACAATTATCGCGTTATAGCAGAACTACCTGTATGCACATCTGAAGATGCACACAATAAAATCCCCAGAACTCAGCATCTGGCGAGTTGACATGGCACTGGGTAACTGCTATATTTTTTGAGTAGTCGGTAGGAGCCAAGACTCTCTTGAGAACTCAGAAAGCCAGCCTATGTGTGGCAGCCTGAGTCGGCCCAAGAAGAGTAAGTTTACGCGTGCCTCTTGTCACAGGTAAGAGACCTCCACTTGTCCAAGTTGACCTATGCAGCAGTTATTTCACACTTTCATGGATTTAAGCACTGTGCCTGCATCTACAGCACCCTCTACTGTCAGGAAAGGCAAGCAGGTGAAAACCTTGGTCAATGAACATAAATTGAAGGTGCTAGATTGCATAGATACTTATGTCTCTTTGCATATCATGTGTGAGGAGTTTAAAATTGCCTCCTCCACCTTCTATGACATTAAGGAAAAGCTTTGTGCCTTTGGATTTCAGTAAGAGGATATGTGGAACTTGCTCAGGTCCAAGAAAAGGATGAAACCATCCAAGTATGAGGAGCCAGAGAAGGCCATTTTCAAGTGGTACAAACAGGAGAGGTCTGAACGTGTACCCATCAGAGGTGTGGACATACAAAACTGCTTCCTGTTTTACTAAGCACTTTAACATTCAGGATTTGAAAGCAAGTGCTGGCTAACTCTACAAATTCAGCCAATGAGGGAGTCCCTCACTTTTCTCATTAGGACATTGGCCTGTTGTTGGCCCAGGTGTACAACGGGGATGAGACAGGCCTTTACTAGAAGTCACTTCCTACAAAAACCCAGGCAAGAAAGAGTGTGACCTCCACTCCAGGTCACAACAAAACATCCAAGGAGCACCTGTCTGTTCTTATTCGTACAAATGCAGACGGAAGTCATAACTCTAAGTCGATAGTTGTAGGGAAGTCCAAGAACCCATGAGCCATCAAGATCATCATGGACAAGCTTTCTGTGCACTACAGTGCCAACAAAAGTGCATGGTTCATGCAGGACTTTTTTTTTTACACTTGGTTTCACAGACACAAGGTGACAATAACCCAGCCTATTTGATCCTGAAAATGTGTAGGCTCTGCTTCTTCTTGACAATGCCCCAGCCCAGTTGTTCAATCTTTATGTGGACGCTTTAAAAATTTCATGATTGGTGGAGTAAAATGCTCACATTCAACAAAAGTTGTTCAGTAGTAAAACAAAAGTGCAATGTTCACTTGCATCCACTAGATTATGGTCACTACTGAATCCTAAGGAGGTATTTCATGTTGAGGAACTGATGTCAATAACTAAAGTGTTGCACACTAAATTTGATAGGTGTGGAAGCACATATAAACAGAGGTGAACAATCAACATGGATTTCTTTGAGGATTCTTAGAAAAGGTGCCACTTGACAGACCTGAGCCAAAGATTAATTTCTATTGCATTGGGGTACCTGAGAGTGGACACTGGTTGGTAAAACAGCATACAAAGATTACTGTGAATCCATCTTGGCTGAGAGGGATGGTACAGGAAGGTTGATGCCACACCACCCCCTTCAGAGCTGCTCTCTCTACAGTTTCCAACAAGTAGAACTTTCCAATCATAAAATATTTAACAAGTCTTTTTCTATTATATTTACAGTAAAATCCTGACTTTACATAGTAGCTACCATTTTACCAGAAATGTCAATATTATTGAATAAATATGACTGCTTGATAAAATTTCAATTTGGTGCTCTGCAGTTTCCAAATTGGACATTTGACCTATGAATAGCATGAAGCAAAACAATTTAAAACCACCACATTGTAACAGGAAATCAACAGAGTTAATAGATTTTACAGCCAATACTTTATAACATTTATATATACCTTTTCTAGACGGTCCATCATCTCCTCAAACTGAAGGTTGGTGAGAGGGACTTCTCCTTTAGCAGCATGTTGACTGACCCAGACTTCATCTTCAGAATCCATGTCATACTCAGGGATATCTTGGTCCGCTGAGAATGGATGGATGTGGATCAGCTGTCGGGGGGCCTGCAACATAATATAATATCTAGTTTTTGTAATACCTGTACTACTGTATACTGTTTCCTTTGTGAAACACAGCCATCTCACCACTGTCATTTCAGCTTGCTCGAGCCTACCTATGTCATCCTCTTTAACTGCTACTTTTCAGTGTCACATAGCAAAACGCTTCTTGCATTGGCTATACACGTACTTCAGGCCCTGCAATAAAGCTAGCTACAGCACAACCTCCAGCATTCATCACGTCATTCATGTAGAACCCATCGATGCAGTCCAGGGGTATATTCCATAAAGCTTTTCCAGCCTTGCTAAGATATGATTACCTACCCATACAGCACACTTTAAGTCAGCAACATCCTACAGACTCATTCACATCACTGCAACTCTTGTGTACCCACCATTCACACTAAACTCATTGTTGAATTATATACCGTACTGTCCTGCCAACACCCATCGTACAGACAGCACACGACTTTTCCACTTTCCACCCGAGGTCCCTTACCCGCGCCACTATCATACTTTCGTTTTTGCCACATTCACTCTCTTGCTATTTGACACCATACCGCCCAACCATTTCTTATACTTCTACGCTACTTCTTCAATTCTATTTGCTATTAACAGTTAAGTCGTCAGCATACAACTACTCCCAGAGCAGTTACTTTGTCAAACTTGTAATAGTGCCTCTAACACCATGATTAAACACAAGGTGGCCCCTTACAGATCCTTCATGGACCCCAATTTTCACCTAAAATTCCTGATCTTTTACTCTCACAATATTTCTCGTGCCTTCATACAATGCCATAACCACTTGAACAAGACACTACTTGACATGTAACTTTCTCATTGCCCAATACACTACCTCACATGGTACTCTGTCAAAAGGCCTTCTCTAAGTCTAAACATTTCTCTTTCCTTCCCTAGATATTTCTCTTGTAGTTACCTGGCCATAATAATTGCCACTGTAATTCCCCCGTGTAGCATGAACCCAAAATGTATTTTATTCGCTCAATCACTCTTTCCACAATTTTCATCACCTGACCTAACAGCTTCAGGCCCCTACAGTTTCTAACTCCAAGCACATCACCTTATACTTTGTAAATATTCACAATCACACTCCTCGGCTAGTCATCTGGAACAGTAAATTCAACCAGAATTGCACTGGCCAATTCAGTCACCATCACTTGTCGTCCGATGTTTTCAGCATTTCTGAGACTACGGGTATCCCTTGTTAACATGGTAAATGCATTCCACCAAAGTATATAATATACAGTACTATGTTAAGTAAACATTAATTTCCCATGAGATACATGCAAATACCCAGACTCATATGGCTTCATTAAGAGTATAATCTCCCCCATAGCATGATGATGAAAGGGGGTCCCACAGGCCCAAGAGCCCATTAAGGATAGTGTGGATCACCATCAACATTATACAGCCAATTTCCCACATAAACTATAAACTGTACAGTAGTACACAAGGAGGCTATGTGGTGAGCACTACACTCTTGTGTCTTCTCTTCCCTATCTGCAAAGTTCAATACAGTACAGTACCCATTTATAGTTGGGTGGAATGAGAGTGCCCTAAGGTGAGTACTATACTATATTGTACCCACTCCACTGCCACACCCCTGGATTAATTAGATATCAACTTAAAGAAGACTTCTTGCCTTCTACAGTACCCATACCCCTTCAAGGCAGGAGAAAAACTGCTGTACATGTCCCATCATTTGAGGCTGGCTGTGCAGGAGGAAGATTGGCTGATTAATAGTACAGTAATTTACAGAACAACCCTGGTAGATAGTTACTACAGGACCATCAAAGGGGTCACAGACTATCTACTAATAGACTATCTGTACCTGAATAAGGGTACAGTATCACATTAAAATAAAAGTGTAGAGGACACCCTACATGCATCAAAATATCCTACAAGCACATAATAAAGAGCTGAACTTTCATTCAATTGTAATGAACTATACAAAATTTCCTAAGTACAGTATGTATATATAAACACACATACACTGGAACTACCTGAGTCATGATCAATTAAACAACATCTGAGCTGCTGATGCAAACCATTAGCTACCATGGCAGGGTAAATATTGAACTAGTAATGCTGTGTCTCCTGTCCAGGAGGAGGGGGTGGGGACATATCAAGCAGTTCTCAGGTCTCGTGGAAAAACAAGCAACAAACATCAATCTCTCCCCTTCTCTATGCTGCACACACAGCCAATGAGAACAGCAAATGCTGATCAAAGATCAGCCAACCAACACCTCACTGTCAGATTTGAACACTCTCCTTGCACTTGTGTTTCCAAAGCCATGGTAACTTTTTATTTTTCTTTACTTGTGCATTAAGAATGAAGCAGTTCCTGGGGGTCAGCCACAGCCAGGCTCCCCAATGACCCACAGCTGCACTAACTGGAGCCATTGGTGAGTACCGTACCATAACTCATTTGATGAGACTATCATTAAAAATCATCATATACACCATTTTATACAGTGATTTAAAACATTTACACTATGAGTACTGAACACAATCATTATTTATGCTATACAAAGAAGCCATGATACATAACTGAGTATTGGGGATGTCTGGCCTGAACCTCTACTGAAGCTGGGTTATAATTATCTTATTTAACACAGTTTTGATTAACACTCGGTTTTCAGGGATGCATCCTGGGTATAACCAAGGTAACTACAGTACCTCTAGAGATAATGCTGGAGACTGGATCATTTTCTTCAACCCCCACAAAGCCATTTATTACTCTACTATACCATGGTAATGCTCCTAATTTGAGAACAATTTGCACCAAAAGGTTATCAAGGGGTTCTTGGCACTCGGTGATCAAACCTACTAAGTTTGGTACAAATCTGTCCTCGTCTTACCTAGTTTGGCAACACACACACACACACACAATGCAGGATATGAAACAATAGCCTATCCTGTAGGAGGGGTCAGGGTACTATTGTTAATTAAAATAATCCTGAAAAAATTAAGGATAGCTTTCAGATAGTTATTACTTTTTTCATCCAAATAAAGGCAATTTGAACTTAATGTATAAATTCTGATATGTTAAAATGTATTTACAGTCACTGTGAACTTACCTTGTAGGTGGTAGGGTACATCTTGTCAAGGACGGAGGCATCATCGGTACCCAAGTCAAACACTTCGGGTACCGGAATCACACGTTGGTGAAAGATGGCCTGCTGCAGGTGATGTTCCTAACAAAAGATATGATAGGAGTCAGAATACAGTGTAACCCTCAACACACACACTGTAATATTAATTTTTTAGAGTGTACTGTATACATCACTAGTCTTGAGTCTCAAAATATCATTCAGTTAAGTGTGTACAGTGACCCCTCGTTTAACGAACGCCTCGGTTAACGAAATTTCGGTTAACGAACTGCCTTCCATAAGGATCTTCAATTCGGTTAACGAACGAATTTCTTACGAACCGACCTCAACATGTTTTCGCTTGCACTGGCCGGGCAACCAGCTTAGTATCAGTCCGCCAATACATTAATCGGTTCTAGGGCTTAAATTCCTAACTATTTTAGTAAATATCAAGAAGTTTATACTATTCAATAATTTTAAAAGTTTAATATTCAATTTTTTAGTCATTTTAACAATTATTGAACATAATTGAAGGTAAAGTGACTAGTTTAAAGCGCAGCATCCAGCCTCTTAACACAGCAAACAGGCGTTAGTCTCTCTGTTTTCACTGGAGGTAACATCTTGCTTGAGACTCTCTTCAACTAAACGCTTTTTTCTGTGTTTCCAAGCAAATTATTGGTCATTTTGAAATATATTTTACATATTGACAATATATAATGCAGTACAGTGTTGATTTAAAGAAAATAATCTTGAAATACACCAAGAGAACTAAAATTTTATGGGTGAAATGGTGCCATGGGGTGACTTCTCTTCCACCCCAATGCCTTCTCTTCTTCCTTCTCCTCCACCCCCATTGTAATTCCCATCATCATCATCATCATCCAGGAGCCTTCTACATACACACCTCAAAGTAAGTGAACTTTTCTACCATTTTTGTTGAATTTAGGAAATTTTCGGTGAGCTGGAACAATTACCCAAAAACCCATTGAAACAATGGTTTCGGTTAACGAACTTTTAGGTTAACAAACGACCTTCTGGAGCGGTTGAGTTCGTTAACCGAGGATCACTGTATTTTAACTGCGCCTGACCTGGCTACATAACACCCATGTGATGCAGCTGCCCTAAGACAACACCTGAAAAAGTAATAAAATAACAAAAATGGACAAAAAAAAAGGCAATTAAAACCCTAAAAATCTACCTGTATATGAAAATGTCTTAGTAAAGGTCACCCAAGGAAACACCACCTTGACCAAAGTGTGTAGTACAGTGTACCTCATAGACATAATGGGACACTAGTATTAATAAAACACAGCCAAGAACTTCACCTACTCACCACAAGGTAAAGGTGAGTAAGTAGCAGTGTTTGGGGTTATATTGTACCTATTCTTCTTTTTACATATTCTAAGAGTCTTTATATGTAAATAGAAAATGAAAAATCAGTCATGCTAAATCTGGGTGTTGCTACGGCACTTGGGAGACTCGTTGCATGGAATGAAACACTGACATTTGGTGGCGATCACTCAATTATAAGTGTGTTTTGTTTGTTTACATACTCAATTTATTTTTATTCTAAGTGTGTCTACATATATATTTACAGGTATATAAATAAGTAATGCTGTGTATATATTATGTGGCACTAAAGGTAACACATACTGTATAGCTAATGGTAATGTCCATGTGTTAAGTACCTGCATGGCTCTTTAACTAATTATCCAGCTACTATCTTGATTCCTTCTCATCCTCAGCAGTTACTCTGATAAATTTGATGTTCTGTTTTTTTCTTATTCAAAGTTTTTTCTAAGTGCAAGCAAGGAAAAAAGTCATGGTATGTAAATGAATACTGTAGTGTACTGTATTCATCATGCGACACTACAGGCTTGATTGTAGTGACCCTCGGTGGTTGATCACATGCGTCATGAGTCGTCCAAATATATCCAGTTACCAGATGACTCTCTTTTCCTACTTACATTCGGAAACACTTATAATAACACAGCATCCCCACACATTTATAGCCGTTTCATGTGACACGAATCACCCATATACGAGAACACCCAAATACAGTACAGCATGAATTTAATGTTCTAAAGTAATTCTCTATTTCTAAACTCACTTAGCAAAAACGTACACAAACACACAGATACATCCCCTGATTTATGTATAGTACAGTAACTATAGTGTCAGATAAACAAATATTTGTTTTAATGAAAGCTTCACCTTGAAATCTCTCTTTAACAAATAACAAAACATTTCAACACCCTTTCTTCTTTAAACAATGTAATTTTTTAGCTGTCACGGAGTCAAGTCGGCCACCCAGGAGGCAGAGACGACTTTATGCTCTGCTCTACACTGTACCTATATCTACAGTACAATGTTTATTAGCTATTACAGTACAGTATTCAGTGTAAACCCCCCAGTTTCCCTTCCTGGGACACAACTCCAATAACACTTGGATTCTATCATTCTATATATACTTTTTTTCTCACTTAAACATATTTCCAGGAATGTAACCCCTTTGTATATTGTGCGACACCCGACTTCATATATACAGCAACCTTAGGCAATTTCACGTGATGGGACCAAGAACATTCACAAAATATAAATGAGCGATATAAAAAATACTGTACTGTACAGTTTAATACACAAAAAGTATAAAATAAAGCTGCATCATAAAGGCCCAACAACTGAGATTTATATTCTAACATTTTAATATATGAAATGTATGAATGGTTTTTAAATAAAGTGCCTGGAAGAAATATTGGAGTACAGTACCTTAAATAAACCTAGTGCAGCTGTACATTACAGGTCTAAGATGAACAGTGGCAAGTGTTTGCCTCTCATCACTGCATAGTGTGTTCAATCCCCGGGTCAGGTGTGAGAAGGATGTGCTGTAATGCACTGTACTCTGTACCACTATTGGAAAATGAATGTCATAACAAAGAACCAACCCACTGACTGCCTAAATGGCTTCCAAACTGACAAGGAGGAGGAATCTGGTTACCATTATACTGTACTACTGCATAGTGCAAAGATTTATGTAGAAATACCTTATATCTGGTTGGTTTACAATGAAAACAATAATTCATGAGATTTACTAATAACTTTTAATATAATACCCACTATGGCTGGAGAGAATACAGTACAGTACACAGATAGTGTAATTTAAGGAAGCTCAGTGTGGCTGTACATTGCACACCACACTCTAGTTACTGTACTGTACCAATACATAAGTGTGTATATATGTAGCTATAACATTTAGATTTAAATATTTTATTATCTGGAGGATTTGTATTGTAAACAGTAATTTATGAAATATATTGCATTAGCAATTTTTTAATAAAATGTGCTCGGAGGGAATATCAGGGTGTGTGTGTGTGTGACTATATTACAGGCTCAGTGCAACTTACGAAGCATTATCATCACTTCCACCACTTGCTGGTCTCTTTGAAGCATTTTAAAGGGTAAATAAGTCATAAGTAAAGGCACAGAACACTGAGAGCCCCCAGACTGGAGAATGTTAACAAATTTTTGTTGGAGTGCAGGGAACAAGGATGCCATGCCTGCTAAGTTGTTTCATGAACTATGTCCTCTTCTGATACACATTATTTTCTGATCTTTTAAATAGTTATGTCTGTATGCAGCTATGTATTCTATCTACAGTTTTATCGCTTTTAAACAGAAAACCTTTAAGCCAAAACAGTGTTATATGACTCAAACTGTTATGGTGCCAGATTTACTACTGTACACCTTTATCAATAATACCAAGACAGCCAATCACAAATCATGCGGCGACCGTGGGGTGCCGGGTTTAATTGACAATAGGGATTTCAAGAATGCAACCCAACTATAAATCAAGGTACATTACTGGTATATCTGCATTCATTTTACACATTGAAGACCCTTTCCGCAAAAAACCTTGGGGCTGATTGCATTTTTATTTTCAGATACCCCAGCTAGCTTACAGAGCACAGTACATGCCCGTATCCAGACCTCAAAATCAGACAAATGAAGTTTTTCTTCTTGCACCAACAACTGCCACCGCTCGCACTCGAGATATTTTTTCATGGTAAACGCAAATTTGCTTACGGTAGGTACAGCATTGTTCAATACTTTAGGGTTCCGGTATATTTTTGTTTCCATCTACTGTACTGTACTTGTAGAACTGTAGACAAAACACTTAATAAATTTGGACAATGACATTCGCTCACTACAGTACCGTTGTTGCTGGTTTAGTTGTTTACACAGCACAATATACTTACATATACTGTATTTAAAGACATTTTTTACAGTAAACACAATTTTGCTTGGTAATTCTTCAATATTGTCCATTCAATGCAGTACAGTACATCTCCTTAATTGACAAAGAAGCAGAGTATGACAGGCTGTAGGAATTCAGTGTGATGTAGTTGTGATATTTGCCTTACAATATTTTCAACTCATTTTCAAGTTTTACCATTTTTTCTATACTGGATCTTCCAAAACACCCTAAATTTCTGCGCACCTTTTGCAAGATGCACTGAACGACAAGAATAGTACCGGGTATAAACATTTATATTTTTTGCTTATTGTCCAAAATCATCAGCCTCCTCTTCAATTGTATCTTTCCATTTATACTTTATTTTCTTCTCTGCATCTATTTTTTTTTTTCAGTCTAGTTTCTTCAGTTTCAACACTATCTTTCTTGCTCGTATTTCTTTTCTTACTGAAGTAGGTTTTACTGTAGTATATTCAAACCAACAGTCACCCTATTGCAATACAGTATCACATTTCTTTATTACCCTTCACTTTTGACATATCACCTCTTTCTTCTCCGGGTACTACAGCAAAATATTCCATACCCTATCTCAGATCATTCATTGTCCCACTACAGTTTGCTCCAACCTGTGAACTTCAATTGCATCTTTACTGCTGCTAAAACCCCATTCAACCAAAGTCTGGCTATGAGAGGGTAAAAATCATCTTATAGAACTCCTACAGTTCACTACATTCAGTTTTCTCATCAATAATATCAGCAGGAAGATCATCCAGCCTTTTTCCCACTTTAATAATTATCATATTGAGTAAAATCTTCCTTTGTTCTAATTTTATTAAATAAGACACTGTTTTGT